TCAGTCTGGCACACATCCATCTCCACCACGACCACAGCCACCTTACTTACTCTGAGGCTGGAAATCTCATTTCCTGGAACTCCCTTCCTTGTATAGTCCCATGTCAGTAACCTCAGATTTGAAACAGAGATGGAAAGTGAAGGTCACTTTTCTCGGGAGGTCCTGGGACTCTGCTGCTTGGCTTTTTCAGCTGCTGCAGCCTGTGGACCTTTCCATTAACTTCCACATCACAGTCCTGGCCGGCTTTGCTGACTTCCCCACAAATTCATTTTCCACCAGCTCACCAGGGCTCTTCAGGCTGAGATCTTCACTGTCAAGTTCTCTGACCTAATGCCAGCTCCCACCACTTGCTCCATGCTTCAGGATAAATATTTCATCGACGATTTCTCTGATGTTCAGCAGAGCTCCCCCAACCTATGGTGACAGTTTTCTTAACATCATTAGCCCTTAATTCTCCACAATGACTTTTCATTTTCCTGACCAAACCCTTAGTCACTAAGCTGCTGGAAGTGTGCGGAGCCTCGGATTCTGGCCCAGGAGAAGAGCTAGTCATTTTATCTAGAAAGGCAGCACAATAAAGTAGTTAAAACTAAGTTTGACTTATGACTTAGAAGCTGCATGTTTTTAGGCAGTTAGTTATTTAAACTCTGCCTCAGTTCCTCAGCTATAAGGAACTGATATTAGTAACTACTTCATGGGGTAGTTATGACAAATGGATTCATACTAAATAACAGATAAAGGTAAATAAAATATGCTTTTCATACTTATCCTTCTTTAGACTCAGTCCTCCTATTTGTATCCAGTAATAAAAATAGAGAATAATGGGTACTGAAATACTGGAGATGGGGTACTTGCGAGCCAATCTAAGAAAATGATATAGAGTCATATCTCCAGAGCAGGGAACAATATGTGAAAAAGTTTCTGAAACCAGATCATTCCTCTTTTACTTATTAATATTTGAATATTTCTATTTCTTTAATTATTCCCACACTACTTTTCCATATGGCTCATTGATTATTTCTTTCTTATTTTTTTGACAAATATACCAACAAAAATATCAGATCATCAAAGTTCAAAATATGTGCCCTTGTATTAACTGCAGATTTGAAGCATGTGAATTTGGGTTGGGAGAGGGGAATGCTCACAGGAAACTCAAAGGAGATTTCATTGTGTTTTAAATTTTTTACAACTAAAAATTATTCACACATTACTTTTATAGTAAAAACTTAATTTAATAATAAACTGCCAAAAATTGGCAATTAATTATTAATGCCAAATAATTAAATATAATATTAAAATATGATCAGAGATTATCTCCATGTTTGTATAAGAAGGGTATTTTCTGCCCTGGCTGGTGTTGCTCAGTGGTTGGAATACAGACCCATACGCCGAGGGGTCAAGGGCACGTATCTGGGTTGCAGGTTCAATCCCAGACCCTGGTCAGGGCATGTGCAGGAAGCAACCAACCGATATGTCTTTTTTGCATCGATGTTTTTTATCTCTCTCTCTCCCCTTCACTTCCTCTTTACCAAGCTCTCAAAAAAATCTAAGGAAAAAATATCCTCAGATGAGGATTAACAAAAAAAAAGGAAAGATATTTTCTGAAAGTATAGTATTTTCATTTTTACCCTTAGAAATAGGTCTTTTAACCCATTATTTTTAAACATCTAATCTTTAGTGATATAATTTTTTTCAAGTGGCTTTTCTGACTAATCTTTTTATCACCTTCAAGTGGAAAAAAATTTAAGAGAAAAATGTAATTCTGGGACTACTCACTTTGAAGAGCACCTACATCTTATGGAATTGGATGTCTCAAAATATATTGTATTCATTCAGGTTTCTATAAATCCTTATTAAGGAAACCAGAGTAAAATGAAATGAAAATGGACTTTCCTCAGTATCCAAATAATAAAAATATAGTAAGGCTTACTGTAGTCTATTCCCCATTGTACTCTCTGGCCATGATAAATGGAACCTGCCTGTCAGCAGGAAAAAGTGGATGCCATTCTTCTAATAGCAGCCTTGGTTGGCACAAAGGAGGCACTGGAGCACAAAGATTGACTCTGTGGACCCATCTCTCTTAACAATGATCAAAACACGTGATCAAATAAAAAAGATGTTCGTTGCTTAATCAAAAAGCTGAGATTCAATAAGCTAAATGTTTTAGATAAATCTGGAGTGACTACTTAGGAAAAAAAAAATAGGACAGAAAACCATGAACTTTTTCAATTTCACTCAATACAAAAGCACACACTCTTTTTTTCCCCCACAGCAGGTTTCACAGTATTCACAATTTCGAGGAAGCAAAAGCAAACCAACATAGAACAACAGAAAAAACATCTACTTGTGGCTCATCTATATGCATGCTGTCAGTGTACTTATTGATTTGCTGCTTCTAAATGTTTTCTTTTCTTTTTGTCTGATTTTTTTTAATGTCAGATTCCTCAAGGTAGAATACCTTCAAGCATTTTGTTAACTTCCACACTATTGCACTAAGATTGACAGGAGTGATGCTGATGCTCTTGAGCAAGCTTGAAAAGGAAAACTGCTCACACTCAATTAAGAGTACAAAGAAAAAGAGTGTTGAATCTATATTTAATGTGAATGAACTCAGTTATATGAGACAGTAAGTTGACATGTGCCTGCATTCCCATGACACTATGCTGTGGAAATACACGTGAACATTCTGCTGTCAGATTAGAACACCACATTCCCTACTATGCTACATAATAACCAAATATTTTACAACTCTATTTGTACCTCACCTAAATGCTCTATAGACCTCAGTAAAGATGCGTTCTTAATCAGGCTATCTGGATCCTATTTCTATTTGCTTACTATCTATAAGATCACAGGTAAATTACTCAGGCTTTCTGTTCCTTAGTATGATTTTGAGTAAAATTGAGGTTATAATAGTTAAATACTAACTTATTTTTTAAAAGGGAATAGAACAAGGAACCAAGATGGTGGCATAGGTAAATGCTTATATTGGCCGCCTCCCACAACCACATCAAAACTACAACTAAAATAGAAAACAACCATCATTCAGAACCGCCTGAACACTGGCTGAATGGAGGTCCTACAACCAGAGAAGTAAACAAGAAAGCACATTGAGACTGGTAGGAGGCATGGAGGCGCAGAACGGGCTGGTCCGGCACCCAAGTGTGTTGTTTTTTTAATCTGGAGGGAGATCGTCCCTGTGGAGGCCGCCTGTGAGAAACAAGAGGTCCCAGCCCCACACCAGACCCCCAGCTCAGGTTTCCAGAGCTGGGAAGAGAAGTCCCCATAACTTCTGGCCTTAAAAACCAGCAGGGATTGTGGCTCAGTGACACAGAGGATGCTGGAATCCCAGGTGTCCCTCTTAAAGGGCCAGTGCACAAACTTACACAGTCCAGCTTCTTCCAAGCTCCAGCGCAGGGGACCCAGACACACCCTGGGAGGAACTGGATTGTCTGGCACCTGGGCAGGAACTCAGGGGCAGCTTTATCCCATATGGAGGTGCTTGCAAGGGCCATTGTTCCTGAGCTAGGACCTCCCCTCTCCCAGGGTTGACTGGCAGCCATAACAGCCTGGAACACACTATTTGTTCAGACCTGGGGATTCCCTGAGACCCCACCCCATCTAATTTGCAGACCGCCAAGCTATTTGTAGCTGCTTTTCCTATGAATGGCTTGTCCTGGCTCAGGCTTCAGACTTTGCTGAAATCTCTCAAACAAGCTGCAGCTGGTGACAGCATGTCCCAAACCTATCAATAAAGACCCAAGACCCAGCACTAGCACCAGCCTGCTTGCATCAGAGCTGGGCCTGGCCTCCTGGACAGCAACTCTCCCACTGTAGTTGCAGCTGGTTATCACAGCCAATTTGCCTAGAGGTCAACTCCTCCCCAAGATGCCAACAGCAATCCAGGCTCAACTACAGAACAGTGAGCGCAGCCACAGGTCACCTACCGCACAGGCCGCTCTACCAATTCCAGGAAACAGTGTTCTACCTCATACATAGAAACAAACACAGGGGAGCAACCAAATTATATAAATATATATATATATTTATAATATATATTATATATAAATAGATGTTCAATGTCATTAGCATTGAGGGAAATGCAAAATAGAGCAATGATATACCATTTTATATGTATAACATTAAAGAGCATTAAAACAGTGGACAAAACAAGTTTGAGAGCAATAGTAACATTATATATGACTGGTATGAGTGTAAATTGGTTTGGGAAACAGTGGAATTATCTTACAAAACTGAAGGGGCAAATATCCTGTAGTTAAACAAAGCCACATCTTAGTATATACTCTAACTCCTTGTTACCATGCTGTGGGAGACATTTACAAAAATACTTAAATACTTTTTTCTGTTTATAAAAGAAAGATGCAAACAGCAAAACTGGCAGTCTATAGAACAAAAGATAAAATAAATAATGATCTATTCTTTCAAAAAAGAAAATCACACCTTAGTGAAAATAAATGACCAGCATGTATGAATCAAATCAATATATTGTTGGTCAAAGTATCAATAACAGAAGAAAAAAGTGTGACTCCATTCGTACAAAATTCAAAACCAGAAAAACCATTTATTATTTATGAATACATACATTTGGAGTGTAATTTAAAAAAATAGATGAGACATATAAATTTGAGGAAGGGGGTGACTTCTGGGCTAAATGGATGGGAATATGATTACCCAGGAATTCACAGTGGACTCCAAAGGCTTTAGTAATGCTCTATTTTTGAAGTTGCTTGGTAAGTTCATTATATTAATAACAGGTGTTCATTATTATTATGCTTTAGGTGGAATATATAAACTATAAATTCTGAGGTACGTATGGTATATTTCATAATGTAAAACAATATGGTCCTAAAAATGACCAATAGCAATATACATGTTGATTTCTTTGGCTCCTATGTATATGTTCATGTTTTATCTTTCTCACCTCTTTAGTTTTGGCCTCAAATTTTTGTGATGAATACAATAAATAGGGAATAAATTACCGTGTTTCTTATTGGAATCTTCTTGGGTTCTGGAGGCATATCCTGTGGAACAAATTTCACTGGTTCCTTAATCTGCCTCCTTGATCGTTTGGTCCCATCTGGTAAAGTTTCCATGGCCATCTCTGCTTCCATGTCACTGCTCCCAGCCTGGTCACATTCTGAGCACTGCCTATATAAAGAAAAAATATAAGTTCATACATTTATTTTTACCTCCTAGTGTTAGCATTGGTTTCTACAAATATAAAATTCAGAATATATAAAAACATACATTTTGAAGAATATTTAAAAATATACATTGGTATATGTGGCCAAAGGGTATATAATAACTATACATACAGAAAGGCATATACATTCCAATAAGAATGGCAACAGTATGTATATACTTAAGGTAATTCCATGTACCCCTATAAATGTTATAAGAACACTAAAAGCCCAGTGTGCAAAATCGCGCAGCCCCACCCACCCACGGCCTCGCCGTGCTCGCAGCCCCGCCCACCCATGCCAGTCTTTGGTCGTTACAGTGTTAGGGCCACAGGCCTTTCATAATATAGATATGTAATAATGCTGCATGTTTAAGTGAAGGAACTAACATAAGAAATTCAGCATTAATCAAAAAGGTTTCCCTTTGAAAATCATGACTTTTCCTTAAGTGACATGTACTGTGATACCTGAAAATCACATAAAAAGAGGAAATATAAAAACTTACTCATTAAAAGAATTTGATGAAGCATTTTTAAAAACATGGGGATGGGGAGAAGATGACAGAGTAGCATGCAACAGGAATCTGTTTCTCTAGCTGGAAGATAATTACACTAGCCAAATCTATCTGATGTAACTATTTTGGAACTCTGGAATCTATTGAAGACTTGCAACTTCCAGGGAAAGGCTTGCACAGGCAAACTGTTGTTAATTCCAGTCAAGCAAACTGTTGTTAATTCCAGTCAACTTCAGCTCTTGCCTACTAGCAGCTAGCCCAATGCCCATCCCAAGCCACATGGCAGGCAGTTGTGCACATATTCCTACACTTGCACACAGTAGTTCAGATCCAAGGTGGGCAAAACAAGCCCTAACTTCAAATACTGGGTTCTGTGCTCTGATTGCTACTTTTGATCATAGAAGCATGGACAAAGAGGTGGGTTACCTCCCTCTATTACTGCAAGATACTCAGTCTGAAGTGACTTCCAGAACTTAAAAGACTGGCATCTTTTATCCCTCCACCTTCATTTTTTTCTTCTTCCCCTTTTGGGAACCATACATTAAAGACTAGGTCATTCAAAAATAAGTGCAAAATAAAAATTAGAAAGTGACCATGGTTGCTTAGGGAAAAGCTTAGGAAAGACATAAGACCATAAGTTTATACCTCAGGCAAAGACATCCCACTATAATCCTATATAATAAAAGGCTAATATGCAAATTTTCCCCTCAACCAGGAGGCAGGGCCGGCTGGCCAACCTCCTGTGTCCCTTATATCCCCCGCCCCCCCAACCACACCAGGCAGGCCTGCCGGACCCCACCCATGCACGAATTCGTGCACTGGGCCTCTAGTAATAAATAATAATAATAACAAAATTGCAAACCCTGGAAATAGAGGAGAATTTCATTTCCAGAGTTACCACATTATTAAATTTAAATATCCAGTTTTTAACCAAAAAAAACAAAGCTTACAAACAAAGGCAAAAGTATTGTCCATTTAAGGAACAAAAATTAAGTAAACAGAAACTGTGTCAGGATACTTGATGGCAGATCTATAAGACAGTCTTTAAAACAACAGTTATAAAGATGCTCACTAAGCTAAAGGAAGTTGTGGAGAAAGTCTGGAAAACAATGTATGAACAAAATGGAAATATCAATGAAGAGAAAGCCAAAAAAATAAAGCAAAAATAAATCTGGAGCTGAAAAGTACAACAATTGAAATGAAAAATTCACTTTTCGTGGGAAATAAGGCAGCGTTAAGCAGGCATAAGAATCAGTGGGAATTATCAAATATGTCGAACACAAAGAAAAAGACTGAAGAAAAGAGCAGAGCCTAAGGGACATGTGTGACATCGGCAGGCAGACCAACATTTGCATTGTGGAAGTCCCAGAAGGAGAAGAGAGAAAGGGACAGAGAGGATGTTCGAAGAAATTACTGAAAACTCAAATTTGATGGAACTACATGAGTATAAATATCTAAGAAGCTCAGTGAACACCAAGCTAGATAAACTCAGAATCCCACACTAAGACACTATCATTAAATTTTGCAAAGAAAAAAACACAGAGACTCTTGAAAGCAGAAAGAGAAATTCAGAATCGTCACACAGAATCCTCAATAAGATTATCAGTAGATTTCTTATCAGAAACTTTGGAGGCCAGAAGGCACTGGGTCCATGCTGAAGGAACTTGTCAATGAGGGGATTTAGTCCCCTATGGGCTTCTGGTCTCAGAGGGTACTGTCATTTATGGGGGTATCCAGCCATTTCTTTCAGTTTAATTTATACAGGGGGTACCTTCCAAGTAGTACCTTCTCCCAGACTATTGGGTTGACAGCAGACTATATATGGGATGGGATGGAATCTAACTGAGAGTTGAATGAGTCTTGGTTACAGAGTGGTCATTTTTCTGGGTTAAACTAAGAAACTGGATATTAATACTAGGGCCATCATTAAATAACTTCGCATTAAGGAAGCAGGATATCCTGGCATTACCAGGAATTGTTGAGAAACTAAACAATCCTAAAGGTGGCAGCTGAGAGGTGGGTTAAAATATTGTTTTTTAGGCTGCCTGTCTTCCCTTATATTGGTACAAGCCAAGGATGTCAAGGGTCTCATATGTTCTGTTAAGACCAAGTAGGTGACTCTTGTGTCAATTTAAAAATTAACCTTTCACCTGCTATGACGAGTCACCTGGGGTTCCTTTATAGTCACAAGATATCTTTCAGGTGGAACCATCAGTTGGCCCTTTGTAGTCTTTTTCAGATAGGGCTATTATGGGTTCTGGAGTCCCTCTCTCCCTTCGGAGCTGCAGACAGTCCCTTTCTTAAATCTCCTGTCTGGTTGCAAAGAGTAAAACCTGGGGGCTCGGTCCTGAGGAGTGGAAGCCAAGGTCCCGGCTTGTGGGACATTGTTTGCTTCAATGACCCAGCTCTTTCATCTAAAGTTATTCCAGAAACTCTCATCCACTAAAACCAGAGCTTGCAGACAAGTGCATAATCCCACTTAGGGAGAGAACTACACATCTCCATGTCCAAGATCATGGCTTAAGCACCCTGGCCCTGGAGACTAATAAAATGGCTTTCATTTTAGAAACTCACTTAGGATACTTATTAATACTGCTGGCATTCCAATAAGATATAGCAGTACCTTCTTAAAATCTGGTTTCAAAAGCACATAAATATCAAAAGAAATACACTCCACTATATTCGAGAAGGGCAGACAAGTATGAGTGTCTCATGACAAACTGACAAAAGAACATTATGAAAATCAATCCTGTATAGTGGTGAAAAAAATGTAAGTTTCCTAATACAATGAATAGAGGTAGCTTCATGAGATACAAAATGAGTAAAACACATGTTTAATATGTTTGAGAAACACACATGACTTTTTGTATGGACTACCATTTAAGAATTTGGGGTTCATTATTTTCTAAAACTAGAAAGGTAATTTGTATAAAAAAATATCATGTCCATTCCAACGTTTTCTGTGTCCCATATTCTTCCTATTTTGAATCAACCTATTAAAATTTGAACATCTGTCCCTTGGACTAAAATTAAGAAAAGGATAGAATTCAACATAGGTATCATAAACTTTTATCAAACATCTGTAGTGATTCAATATGCCCAGGTTAAGGGAAAAAAAATAATTAAGAAACATGTCAAATGTTTCTAGATTTGCAAAGAATAGTTTAACTTATATATAACTAGCACAAATGACAAATACCAGATGTAAAGCCTTCAGTGACACTAATTTAGAAATAAAACAGTAAATTACAAATAAAAGCATGAACGGAGGCAAATTCTTGATATATTAATTCCATTTCAAAACAAATAAAGCATTTGAGAAATTCTTATAATGAAGTAAAAGAGAATTATAAACACACTAGACAGAAGTCATGCCTTAAAAATCCACTAAAATACCAAAACAGCCTCCATTGAGTTAAAATTCATTTCTCAAAAATAAGCTATTACTGTGTTATTCATATACTATTATAAACATGTATGTCAGAAGCATTTTTATCACAAAAATAGAAAATAACAATGTGAGGTTATGAACATGTTAATTAACTTGGTTGTGATGATTAATTTACAATCAAATCATTAAGTTGTACACCTTAAAGTATATATTCCAGTTTTGTCGATTATACCTCAATAGAGTTGAATAAAAATACTTATGGAAGTATCAATTTTAAAATGTGCCACACACTTTATTATAAAGCAATATAACACGTCATCTTACACTGCTGAAATGAAGCCAACCCAATTCTAACTTCTCTCCACTGTACTTACCAATAACTGTTTTTGGTCTTTCTTGGCATCCTTGTAAGAGGAGGGTCCAGACATCCAAGATGGTAATGAAGTTTACAGGTATCACACAGCAAAAGAAGATGCTGATCATGGTTCTTCTTACAAATTCCACAACTTTGAATAGAGGCAGCAAATAAAGTATTAGAATAATAATTATCATAGTGGAACAGTTAATTGATAGCAATTTTTTTAAATTTCAAAATTTTGTACTGATTAATTTATTTCTTTTGTTGAAGTCAAATATTTTTTCAAAATAAAACTTTTTGTAATGTCAATAACTAATTATTAATTCTAAATACTTTTGAGAATATAGAAAAATAGCATGGATCTAATATAAATTTAAATAGTGCTAGAGACAAACCTTTTGGAGCAGGGCTTATAGGAGATACTTATTCTCAACATCTTTATCTTAATTTTAATTATCACTTAAAACCCATTTAACATTAGCTAAATTTTTCTTTAAAAATATACATTATTAAACAAAAAATTTAAATTTTCTACCTCTCTAAAACTACAAAGGAAGTATCATTACAAACAAAATTCAGTTTCTTTCCTACCATTAATTATAAATCTTTGAAAGAGCCTCCAACATGTAAATAAGGTACATATATACATAAGTCTCTTTTCAAAATCAGACTTTGCATCTTAAAAATATACTATATATATTTACTGCAGAGAATGGGGAGTTTTACTATTGGTGTTACTGTTATTTTGGATTTTTGTTTGTTTTTAAGGAATCTAACTTTTCTTGTGCAAAAAGGCAACTACTGAGAGCACATGCACCATGTCCTGAAAATCTAGAGTATATTTATTTATATTGAGAATGTAAAGACTAAGGGAAGAGCTGTTGAGAATCTAAAAGAGCTATCCATGTACAGAAACAGCAATGATTTTTGAATTTTTTAAATAATCCTAGAAAAAAAAAAAAGATCATACACACACAAAACAACAACCACCACCACCACCAGTATTTGGTCTCAAAATTGTTCAGAATGAAAAAAAAAATCACCTAAATATAGTCAAAAGTAAAAATTAACTGTAGAGATAAAACTTAGAATAGTTCCAAATGAACAAGTTTTGTTTGGAAAAAGCTGGATTGAGAATGTGTTAGTCTTCACACAGTACACTAAGACACTAATGGGGCTTTTCCACATTTCAAGGAAGTTATTTGCTATTACCTATGGAGGGAGCCTTCAAACAGGAATGGAAAATAAGTATAAAGATTGCTACTGTGGCTATAGCTGCTACTTCTGAAAAAGGAAGAGGCTGTATGCATAGTTATGTATTACATAAGCATATATGCAGTTTTACATGAATATTCACATATGTGTATGTATAATACACACAAATAAATCTAGCATCTTCTAAACTTTTCTCATTTAATCAGTTACAATAAAAAAAAAAATCCCAGCCAGTGTGGCTGAGTGGTTGAGCATCAACCTGTGAACCAGGAGGTCACAGTTACATTCCTGGTCAGGGTTCATGCCTGGGTTGCAGGCTCCATCTCCAGTAGGGAGTGTGCAGGGGGCAGCCAATCAATGATTCTCTCTCATCATTGATGTTTCTAACTCTCTCTCCCTCTCCCTTCCTTTCCGAAATCAATAAAAATATTTTTTTAAAAAGATCCTTTGAGCTCTGGCCAGTGTAGCTCAGTGGATAAGAGTACAGGCCCAAGACCCAAAGAGTTGAGGGTTCGATTCCCAGTCAAGGGCACATACCTGGGTTGCAGGTTCAATCCTGGACACCAGTCAAGGCCTGTGCGGGAGACAACCAATCCATGTGTCTCTCTCACATCAATGTTTCTCTCTCTTTCTCTCTCCTCTTCCCTCTATCACTCTGAAAAGTATCCTCTGGTAAGGATTAACAATAAAAAAAGATCATTTGGAGTGGTGAACACAAATATAGTGTACAGATGACGTGTTGGGGAATTGTGCACCTGAAATCTATATAATTTTCTTAACTGGTGTCACCCCAATAAATTCAATAAAAAGGGAAAAATGAAAGGAAGGAAGGGAGGGAGGGAGGGAGGGAGGGAGGAAGGGTAAAGAAAATATTGTAACCTATTAAGGTATGGAAAGAAGTCTTGATTATGTAAAATTACTATAATGGTGGACACTGTAAAATATTGAGCCAAAAAAAAAAAAACAAAAAATAAAATACGTCTGGAAAAAAATTATCAAAATTATTAAAGCTTAGCATAGAGAGAGAAAAATGTAGGTAGACAGGTTCAAATCTAAAACTAATCTTCATTACCCACCACTGTACAAAGGCAATTATTCAGGAGATATATATATATATATATATATATGCCATCAATACCTAAAAACACATGCAGAATTCTAAAACTTATTCAAGTAAAAAAAAAATGCCTATTTATCTAATGTATTGTTTAATTATTTATAAAAATAATAATCTACATTATTTAAAGTCACTTTCCAATCCCCCAAAGAGGACCGTTCATTTCCATAAAGCTTATGCACATATATCCTCAGTTACTTAAAAAATACAAAAAGTCATTTCATAGATCTTATTAAACGAGGAGTAAAAATCTCTTCTATCATTACACTTGAAAACATCTTTGATTAAGGTATTAATAAAAATAATTTTAAATGCATTTAACTTAAATTCTGGTGTGGACATAATTCATTCTAAAATACTTGAAGTATCTTGTTACTAAAAAGTATTAGCTTAAAAACACACAATATTAATCTGCCATAATTTCATTACTTGCCTATAAAGTACTGTAGGAAGAATAGATGTCTTTTGTGCGCCTCCTTCTTTCTTACTTGGTTTTCGCTCCTTGGGTGCCCGCAAAATTGCCGGTATGTTCAACTTCTATTGGTTTGAACAAATGCAGTTTATTGCAACATTTTCCCCTCTATGCCACTCAAGTCAACTGAAAGTGCTAGGATTGTGAGGGGGAATGTTTTACCAGCTATTACACCGGGAAAAAGAATTAAAATGATTTTTTGTTTCGCAGCTACTTCCATCATTTTCAGGGGAACGCTAAAACATTATGAAAATTAAACTTGTACTTTAGCTTTAAAAAGTGAAAGACAAGGACAAGCATTTAAGAACATTTTTTAAAAATACACACAGTACCTTGACAAAAAGAATATTGAAGCCGTTTATTTTCCTCACTATCCCAACTACACTGGTGCTCCCTAGGTTAATTAGAAAAATTATCTTATTGGACCAAACTCTCCACAAAGTGAATGAGAATCTCTTTGGGTTTCTACTAATCTGTAGTATGCTGGCTTCTCAGACAGCAACCATCTATCAAAGTCATGTCTCAGTGGCCCAGTGGGCCGGCATCTGTTCAACCAACTGGAAAAAAGTGTCATGCAAGCAGTACAAATGAATTCTACCTCTGCTATGCATTTTATATTTGCACAAGAAAATCGGAGCTTCTGTTAAAAGTCATTTAATAAATGGAAATGCCGTTTTATAGCAGATTCTTAAGAGACTAACTTGCAAATCAAGCCAAAAGATAATGCTAGCTTGGCAAATAAACTAGTAATAGGCTTGTACTCAACATTAACTTCTCTAAATATAAAATATAAAACACCAGCCCTGGCCAGGAAGCTCAGTTGGTTAGAGCATCATTCCATCCTGATATGCCAAGATTATGGGTTTTATCCCCAGTCAGGACACATACAAGAAATGAATGCATGAATAAGTGAAACAACAAAAATCAATGTCTCTCTATCTCTCTCAATCAATCAATCAACTTCCCATATAATAAAAGGCTAATATGCAAATCGACCGAATGGTGGAACAACCAGTCACTATGACATGCAATGACCACCACGGGGCAGACGCTCAATGCAGGAGCTGCCCCCCTGGTGGTTAGTGTGCTCCCACAGGAGGAGCACCGCTCAGCCAAAAGCCGGACTCACGGCTGGCAAGCGCAGCGGCGGTGATGGGAGCCTCTCCTGCCTCCATGGCAGTGCTAAGGATGTCCAACTGACGACGGCTTAGGCCCGCTCCCTGACATTCCCCGAGGGCTTCTGGACTGCGAGAGGGTGCAGGATGGGCTGAGGGACCCCCCCCCCCAGTGCACGATTTTCATGCACCAGGCCTCTAGTCTACACTAATAAAAGAGAAACATGGTAATTGGCATACGACCGCTACCCTTCCCATTGGCTAATCAGCATATCCTTATGCAAATTAACTGTCAGCCAAGATGGCAGCCGGCAGCCATGCACTGAAGCGAGCAGGGAGGCTTGCTTCCTCCAGGAACTGCAGACTCCAACGATCCCCGCCTCACTTGCCGGACTCTCAACTGCAACTCTAAGCAACTATTACTATGTTGCAAATAAGAAGCTAAACAAAACCGGCTGTCAGTCAGCCCGGACCGCAACACTGTATCCATGTTTTCAGCAGCGAGGCCTCAGAGCTAAAGCTGGCCCAGAATAAAAAAAAAAAAAAAAGAAAACAAGGAGCGGTTGGGAGCTTTTAGTCAACTGCCAGCGGGAAAACAGCCCTCAGCCCCTCAGCCAGCCTGGCCAGGCACCCCAGTGGGGACCCCCACCCTGATCCAGGACACCCTTCAGGGCAAACCAGCCGGCCCCTACCCGTGCACCAGGCCTCTATTCTATATAGTAAAAGGGTAATATGCCTCCCGGCACCGGGATCAGCAGAGCAGCGAGGCTCCCGGCACCGGGATCACCGTAACAGGGGGCAGCGCCCAAACCCCCTGATCAGCCCTGCTCTGTGCCTGATAGGGGGGGAGCTCCCCAATCCCCCGATTGCCCTGCGGCTCTGTGTGTGACAGGGTGCAGCGCACCAACCCCCTAATCAGCCCTGCTCTGTGTGTGACAGGGTGCGGTGCCCCAACCCCCCGCCCCCACGGGCCCTGCTCTGTGTGTGACAGGGTAGAAACATAACCTCTCCATCGGCCCTGCCCTGAGTGTGACAGTGGCGGTGCCCCAACCCCCTGATCGGCCCTGCTCTGTGGGTGATAGAGGGTGGCGCCCCAAACCCCCTCCACGGGCCTTGCTCTGTGTGTGACAGGGTAGAGCCATAACCTCCCCATTGGCCCTGCCCTGAGTGTGACAGGGTGCAGCGCCCCAACCCCTTGATCTGCCCTGCTCTGTGTGTGACAGGGTGCGGTGCCCCAACTCCCCTATCGGCCCTACTCTGTGAGTGACAGGGGGGAGCTCCTCAACCCCCTGATGGGCCCTGCTCTGTGAGTGACAGGGGGCAGTGCCCCAACCCCCCTGATGGACCCTGCTCTGTTAGTGACAGGGGGCAGCGCCCCAACCCCCTGATAGGCCCTGCTCTGTGAGTGACAGGGAGCAGCGCCCCAACCCCCTGATTGGCCCTGCTCTGTGAGTGACAGGGGGCAGCGCCCCAACCCCCTGATCGGCCCTGCTCTGTGCGTGACAGGGGGTGGCGCCGCAACCTCCCCATCGACCCTGCCTTGAGTGTAACAGGGGGCGGTACCCCAACCCCCCAATCAGTCTACCCTGAGCGTGACTGAGGGTGGCATTGCAACCTCCCGATCCGCCCTGCTCTGTGCATGACGGGGCGGCGCCCCAACTCCCTAATCGGCCCTGCTCTGAGCCTGACCAGGGGCTGCACTTAGGGATTGGGCCTGCCCTCTGCCACCCAGGAGCGGGCCTAAGCCAGCAGGTCGTTATCTCCCGAGGGGTCCCAGACTGTGAGAGGGCACAGGCCGGGCTGGGGGACCCCCCCCCAGTGCACAAATTTTTGTGCAACGGGCCTCTAGTATATATATAAAACACCATAATCTTCCAAATATCCATCAACAACCTATTGATAGAAACAAAGGTCAGTTCTGCATAAGCAAGTATTCATTCTCAGCTTTTAAATTGTATTATTCATTACTAGGGGCCCGGTGCATGAAATCGTGCACGGGTGGAGTCCCTAAGCCTGTCCTGTGATCAGAGCCGATCGGGGCCGGGCCAATCGGGACCAGGCTGATTGGAGCCTGCCAACGGGGGGAGGAATAGGAGGAGAAACCGCAGGAGGTTGGTGGGCTGGCTGGGGGGGGGGACCACAGGAGGTTGGCTGGCCGCGGGAGGTTGGCTGTGGGAGCACACTAACCACCAGGGGGCAGCTCCTGCATTGAGCATCTGCCCCCTGGTGATCAGTGTGCGTCATAGCGACTGGTTGACCGGTCATTCTGGTCATTCAGTTGTAACGGTCGCTTTGGCTTTTATATAAATAGATAAGCCACATACATTCTATTCACAAATGCATCCTCAAAACTAGCATGTCACAATACATATCAGTGTATATTGCTTCCTAAAATAATATGTCTACACACATTGTATGATGAATTTGACTCTTTGTAAACCTGTGAAATGAGTATAATGAAAAATATCTTTTCTTTGAAAATCATTGTTCACAAATAAAACTACTTTCATAATGAAAGGACCACAGTGAGTCTCCATCATCCTTAAAAAATATAATTGAAATTACTTGAATGAATTCTTAATTTATGAATTATATACATTGTACTAAAAAAAAAGAACATTCAAAGAAATCCATTTGGCAATGATTCTTCTTTTCAACACAAGCACAGGCTAAAAATGTTCAAGGGTAAAGTAATTTTTTCACAACTATAATAATACCTGCTGAAGGGGAAAAACTATACTTTAAAGTTTCAAAAACTATTTCTTACACAGCTCAAAGGCAAATCAATATGAAAATGAATCTCATCTCTCCATTAGCCTTTTAAATTTTACATTTAAAAAATTCTCACATCAGCCAAAACCGGTTTGGCTCAGTGGATAGAGCGTCTGCCTGCGGACTGAAAGGTCCCAGGTTCAATTCCGGTCAAGGGCATGTACCTGGGTTGCGGGCACCTCCCCAGTAGGAGATGTGCAGGAGGCAGCTGATCGATGTTTCTAACTCTCTATCTCTCTCCCTTCCTCTCTGTAAAAAATCAATAAAATATTTTTTAAAAAAATAAAAAAAATAAAAAAAATAAAAAATTCTCACATCAATGCTTCTTTCTCTCTCCCTCTCCCTCTCTCTAAAAAAAAAAAAAAAATCAATAAGAAACATTTTTTTAAAAACACAAAATGACTAAATATAAGAACAAGTCAGAAGAAAATATGACAAAGAATTTAAAACTGCTAAATTGAGGGTGGAGGGTGGGGAATGTGGTAGGAGTTAACTCATGCTTCAAATCTTAACTTCATCACAATCACAGGTCACTCAGAGCAAATGAAAAAATTTTGCAAACAAGACAGCTGTTAAAACAACCAAATTACGCTACAGGTTCTAAGGAGGCAGCTTTAATGCTCTAGATGTATTTCAGGCAGAAATCATTATCCAAGAGGATTAGTTGGCCCTAATCAAACCAAATTCTTCAGTTAGCAAAATGACAGTTGTATCAGAGATCTGATTTTTGAAAATAAAATGGAGAACAAGAATAGAAGAAGATAGCAAATGGAAAGAAACTAACCTGTCCTGTAATTCTGCCTAGTAAGGCCCATATTCCTTGTCCTTCACTTCGAAGTTTCCCATTCAGGTTTTGTAGTTCTTCTAAAGATTCACATAGCTACAATGCAATAATTCAAATGAGTAAACCATTAAAATGTATAGTAAAATATGCAAAAATATAAATTATTTATCAATATCAAAAATATTTGTATTTATACTCCAGTTTTAATATATCCAAGTTACATACCACTGAGAGATGTATCCAATTAGTTAAGAAGCCTCAACAAAATGTAAGCATTTTTCCTAATGACAATGATACCTACATTTATATATTGCTATATTTTACTATATAATTTCACACACATTTTGCTAATTAATGTGTGACTATCAAAAAGCATTTCTAGCATATCCCAATGAGGAAACCAAGAAACATAGGGTTTTGTTTACTTGACCAAGATCATAGAACTAGCAAGAACCCCCAGGTCTTCTGAATCTAATCCCAGGATTCTTTTACTGTTGTGTGGCTAATTATGGGATATTTCTTCCTACTAATTTTTTATCACTTAAAATGTTATCTAACAATAAGTCAGTATCAAATGTTCATGTTACTTACTACCTAACATTTTAGCCACATCTTGCTTTTATATGATCTTTCTTTTTGAGCTCCCTCATCATTAGAATGAGGAGGTAGAATAAAAATTTTAACTGGGAAGTATTTTTTTTAATCAAAAGTAACATTACGCCCTAACCGGTTTGGCTCAGTGGATAGAGCGTCGGCCTGCGGACTGAAAGGTCCTAGGTTCGATTCCAGCCAAGGGCATGTACCTTGGTTGCGGGCACATCCCCCGTAGGAGGTGTGCAGGAGGCAGCTGATCGATGTTTCTCTCTCATCGATGTTTCTAACTCTCTATCCCTCTCCTTTCCTCTCTGTGAAAAATCAATAAAATATATTTTAAAAAAAAAAAGTAACATTACAATTCAAGATAAAAATAGTAATTTAATAAGAAGTTTCCAAGTTTTCTACAAACTTAGAGAAGTTCCACAGTTCAGGGATTAGGAATAACGAATGTAGTCAAACTGCTTGGTCTCAAACACCACTCTATGACTTGAAGGCCTACATGAGCCTAAGCCAGTGATGGCGAACCTATGACACGCGTGTCAGAGGTGACATGCGAACTCATTTTTTGGTTGATTTTTCTTTGTTAAATGGCATTTAAATATTAAAATAAATATCAAAAATATAAAACTTTGTTTTACTATGGTTGCAAATATCAAAAAATTTCTATATGTGACACGGCACCAGAGTTAAGTTAGGGTTTTTCAAAATGCTGACACACCGAGCTCAAAAGGTTCGCCATCACTGGCCTAAGCAAATTACTTCACCTGTTTAGGAGTTTCCTTCTCTGAAAATGGGCATAATCCACATTATACAGCTGTTTGAGAATTAAATGAATGAATACATGTAAATTTCTCAAAATTGTGACTAGCACATAACATAGCAAGTGCCCAATAAGTGTTAGAGATGATAATGAAGACAATGAAGGGTGGAAGTTGTAGGGAAGGGCCTAAAAACTCCAGAAGAGCCCTAACTGGTTTGGCTCAGTGGATAGAGTGTCGGCCTGCGGACTGAAAGGTCCCAGATTCGGTTCCGGTCAAGGGCATGTACCTTGGTTGCGGGCACATCCCCAGTGGGAGGTGTGCAGGAGGCAGCTGATCGATGTTTCTCTCTCATAAATGTTTCTAACTCTCTGTCCCTCTCCCTTCCTCTCTGTAAAAAATCAATAAAATATATTTTAAAAAATAAAAATAAAAATAAAATAAAAAAAACTCCAGAAGAATTTCAAAATGAAAAATAAGAAGTAATACTGTAAAAATCACCAAGAAAATCATCAATAAGATCAATTATATTATTTGTCCTGCAGCCAACTTACCTTATTATATTCCACATGAAGCTTTTCTTGTTCATTCTCTAATTTATCCTTTATATTCTTTTGTTCAGCCATGTTTTCCTGAATTTGAATCATACGCATATTTCTCTCTATTTAAATTAAATATCCAATTTTACTTTAGTAGAAAATAAAAGCTGATATACAAAATACACAAAGGAAGAAGCTAGCCATAGAAATGTCACATGGACAAACCTACATTGTTTAAAACGCTTTTAATTCTATGCACAGATATGAACCTAGCATTTTACAACCCACAGATTATTAGGAAAATAAATAAACATGTTTCTGCTTGATACATGCAGCATGACTAATAAATTAAAAATTAACAGCATATCAAATATTTTCATTAGCAAATTGTTTTCATTGAAAATGTGCATGCATCAGTGTCTATACTGACCAAAATAATAATTCACAAAATCAGCAGTGAGAGCAGGTTGCTTATGCTTTCTCCTTCCATCCACACTAGAACTAGTATCTGAATTGTCCACTGGAAAGATATCTGTGCTGATCCCCATTAGTTCTGCTTTCCGCATCAGTTTCCGAATGGCTGAAGCACTGCTAGTGAGTGGTCTGGGCAATTTTTCCCTTGGAACCCAGGCCTGGGGTCTGGTAGATCGAGCTAGTTCTGCTTTGGCACGATACTGCTGAAGCCGGGCATTGATCCTTGCCTATAAAAATATGTATACAAATTTTAAAAGATATTAAAATGGAATGTACTCCTTAAAATTTTTATCTCCATGCTTAGAGAAAGTAAAGATACTTGAATTCCCTATGTCAAGGCAAGAATAGCTATCCATGGTCCTTGAGGTATACTGGTCCTTACGATATACTGTATAATTCTTGGGTTACAGTAAATTACATCTACCCCTAGTAATAACTGTCCTACTCTATGATCAGAATTGTCATAAACTAATTTGATTAAGCTGAAGTTTCTCTTCTTAGTAACTGCAATAGTGTCCATAAATTTACTTAATTTACACAGAAATACATTTTAAATGATGGGCAAACTGATCAAATCCTTTGCATAAACATCAGAACAGACTGAAAAAGATGTGGGTGACATATTGCATGGATAGGATAATTTCTTCTAAGCCACATTTCTCAGTGCATTTGCAAACATGCTTTATAAATGGTTGCTCTGTTGCCTAGATGAGGAGCAATGTATTTAGCCACAAACTATACTCTCCAGTTAACTTAATGACAACCCATTTCCTAAATAACTAACCAAATTTCATCACTATATTTCATATGCCATTGGCAAACACACGTGAGATCTGAAATACATAACCTCAAATAAACATGAGTTTGGCATAAATTCCATACCTGTGCTTCTGGTGATAGCTGCTTCTCTCTTTCTTGTAAAGACATTTTACAGTAGGATTGTAGAGCCAAGTAGTTTTTTCTCTTCCACTTTCTATCTAACCTATCTGCATGTTGCTTGCAATAAGCAAAAAATGGGTCTGCTATATCCTATATCAAAAAAACAGGGAAAGAAAGTAAACATTTTTTTATTCCAAAAGGTTATAGAAAGCCTAACACAAGAGATAATTTTTTAAAAACTCTCCAACATTATTATTTCTAAAATAAATTATAAAAGTAATTTATACACATAGTGATAAAAACTGCTTCTTTAGAAACTTAATTCTGCATGTCAATGTCAAATTAACAATATTTTTCTTTAAAGGGACTTATGGATTTAAAAATACTTAAATCAACTCTTATGTTGTATATTTAATCCATAAATTAAATATTAAAAATTCTGTTTAAAATAAATAAGATTTTAATAACCTTAAGTAGAAATTATCATTAAATATCAAAGTTATGAATATATAGAGCAAGATTATAAAACAATATATTAAGAAAATACAGAACTAGCCAACAAGATAAGTGGGACATGTCCAACTAGCTACCAATGCATGGACAGATTCTATCCAGGACAAAAATGGATTAGGAAGACCAGGCCCTGTCAATAAAACACGTTAAGTATCCCCTTTAACTCTTTATATAACCCTAAAACTTCATATGGAAACACAATGCTCTCATAGCCATCTTTCATAGTACTAGCCTTTTTTCCCCCCTAATTTAAGGGAAGGAAGGAAGGAAGGGAGGGAGGGAGGGGAAGGGGAAGGGAAGGAAAGGAGGGGGGAGGAGAGAGGGAGGGAGGGGAGGGGAGGAAAGTAGTGTGGGGAGGAAGGAAGGGAGGAAGAAAGAAAGAAAACAACTTATTCTATCAGAAACAGAAATATTTTTTAACTAAATAGCCTAAAAAAGTAATCTACAATGTGACTGCTAATGAAATAACAAGAAGTCGTAAGGAGGAGAAATAAAGATAAGCTACCCATAAAGTTTTTATCTAAGTTATAGTAAAAGGGTCTATTAGTAAGGTGGGGTTTTATAGCCCAAAGAAAAATGGTAACATTAAAAACAAAAAGAAACAAATAAGAAAGAATAGAAAGAGAAATAAAGAATATAAGGTGAATATAAGGTGTTCTTAACATAGAAAAAAACATACAATGTAATTCTGTAGGGTGGTATCAATAGATGTCATACCGTAATGCTGTGGATAAGGTCACAGAATTAGAAATATAAAACCCTAGATACAAATTTTAGTTCTATCATTTACTGGTTTTGCAGCTTCAAACAAGTTGCTAAACAATTCACTAGTAAAATGGACTTAAAAATAACTATTTCATAAAATACAAAAGTGTAGCTACAAGAGTGCATTCAAACACACATACACACACACACACACACACACACACACACACACACACACACCTTTTTCATGACATACTTTAAATCCTGGTGGCAGAAAATGCTAAATGGAAATAAAGATTATATTGAACCTTAGCCACATGGCCAGATCTGAAGTATTATTCTATTGTTTTAAAGTAGGGAAGGTTGAAATTGGATTATCAGGTAGGATTCATGTTTGCATGGGTGAGTTAAACATTAGGACCAAGCCTGACTTAGGGAAAAGACCAGTCTTCTCTGCTCTAAAAGATATCTGAAAGTGAGTAAGTAGCCCAAGTAATTTTTGTTCTGTTTTAATCAGTTAATTTTGGATTGAGGGGCAATAAACCCTAATTCTAAAGCTAGGGTGACTGAATATTGTTTAGAGAATGAAACAAACATATCAAGCAAATATTAGCTACTGTAAAAACCACTGCCTTCCAATACCTATTCTCCCCTTTTCTTCTGTCAGTACTAGAACCCTCTGAGTTTTGACTGCATCTATGTCTATCCGGTTGGGAATGCTCTGCTCCAGCCTCCCTGCAGATAGATATGACCATGTGATAGGATCCAGCCAATGAGGTGTGAAATTTCCATGCCCTTGAAGAAAGCTGCCCACTCTTACTCTCCTTGTTCCTCCTTCCAATGGAGTGGAACCCAGTCAAAGTGCAGATAAACTGTCCTGATCATATTATTGTGTTATATTATCTCTGGATATCTCCAGTGTTGCTTGTGAGAGAATTAAGAATAAAAACAGTATATACCATTTTCATATCATCATGAAAATAGCTTTAACCTTACAGACTCCTTGATAGAATATTAAGGAGCTTCCAAAACACACTTTTAAAACAACTGATTGCTTAATCTAAAGCCAATAAACCTAGAAGGAAATTATAGAATTAAAAATAATTGTAAAGAGATAGAAATGCAGATTCTAAAGACAAGGTAATGATTTTATTTAGAGAGTAACAGAGCAAGATTATTACCCAAATACAATTTCAGACTCTCATATAAAATATGCTGACATTTTAATGCTTTAAAACACTTTGGATTATGTTTCATTTCATCTATCAGATCTCACTACCAAAATTTTAACAAGTTTTCCAATTATCTGACTTGCTTTGAAACTGGAAAAAACTCATATATATTGTTAACTCTTGATGTTTTAGACCAGTGATCTAGGCAAATAAACTTTTAAGTTTAATTTATGATGCATACCTGATGTAGGATATAAGTCATGAGAAGCTTCATGAACATATTCATCAACTATAGGTTTAAATAAACCTACCTCTTCTGCTGCTGCCTCCGAAAGCAGGCCTTCCTTCTGGGCGCAAGTCACGTGGAAATAGGCTCTGCACATCCCTGCATCACAGCTAATGCAAACTCCAGTTCTAGCAAAACGAGGGTCTTCACAGAAGCTACACTCCTACAATGGAACAACAGGAAAGAGCTCAGAGTACAAATATTTCTAGAAGATAGCATTCTCTTACAAAGCATCCACAAAATACAAGTGGTGAACCAATATTATATCAATACAAACAACAGTAGGCAAGCCAAGAGTGTATATGAAAAAAAAAAAATTCTCTATGTGATTCAAATAAACCAAAATTCCACAGACATAATAATGATGATATTACTTGAGGGCTTACCATGTGCTAGGTACTATTCTAAGCACTTTGCACATATTAATATCATTGATCAATATTCCACACTAATATGTGAATGAGGTACTATAAGTATTCCCATTGTAGATATGAGAAAACTTTACTATAAATAATAAATGATTTAGTGCTAACTGCTATACAAACAGTTTGATTACTAACAAGCATCTCTATAGTCAACAATATACCAGTAGGTAAAAAGCCGTGTAAACTAATAAGAAAAAACTTCCTATTTTAGACAATCAAAAACATTGTCTCACCTTGGCACCATATTTGGAATAATTCATTTCGGTTAGTGTTACTGGTCGTAATTTGTCAATATCTCCAAATGCTACTCCAGGAACATAAAGGGCACAAACAATGTGAACCCATCTATAGGAGAGAACATATGATTTTTCTATCAAACCCTTTTGTAAAATGTCCACATGGAAAATAGACATAAAATATATACTGTCTCGAATAACTACTGAAAGAGTTCTATGGTCAGATTTCAAAATTTTACACCTGAAGATTATGGAACATGTATAGAATGATATTCAGTTACAGAAAGAGTGCTTGCAACAAGCACTACTGGTCCAGCCGCTCAGCCAAAGCTGAGAGTTAACAACTATAATTGCCTTGCACTTAAAATTCACTACATTTGGCACTTATCTGTTAGTCTTAAATATTTGCACAAAACCATTACTCAAATAAAACAAAACATCATTTTCATGTGTGAAAAGTATTCACATTTGTTATTGTAAGTACTTTGAGAATTAAGGATACTAATTGAAGAACTATGAAGTTACTCTGCAATAATTAGGTAAAATTATTCTTGTTACTTTTTTTCTAAAGGCTGTTGGATAATCCTCTGAGGACATATTTTAAAACAATTTTTTGTATATATCTTGACTCTCTTCCCAGTAAACTGTACAGAACAGTTATAATAAGATAAGGAAGTCGTATCTCTCTCACTCATCTCTTCACCATATAACCTATGTATTAAAATTTATATCCCCCACATACAAAATTTTTTTAAAGTCTGAATGATGCTGCAACACTAAACAAAGAATGCTCAAAGTTTCAGTACACTAAAAAGAATAAACACAAGTTGATTCTAATTCTGTTGTGTTTTTTAACTGCTCTGAACCTTTTTTAAAAATATATTTTTTTATTGATTTCAGAGAGGGAGAAATAAACATCAATGATGAGAGGCAATTATTGATCACCTGCCCCCTGCACACCCCCTACAAGGGATTAAGCCCACAACCCAGGCATGTGCTCTAACCGGGAATCGAACTATGACCTCCTGGTTCATAGGTCGAAGCTCAATCACTGAGCCACACTGAACTTTTAAAAATATATTACGCTCCATTTCTGTTTGCTTACAACTAAACAAAAGATGGATCACTGGATTTTGAAATTTAAACAGATCTATATCACTTCTGTAAGAAAGAGGGTAAAAATGAGATGGCAAATCTCTCTTAACCTTGTGAATATATTAACAATAAATTCTGCTTTATCACAGCATAAGGGGCTATGATTGCTACATGGTTCTGTTTTGTGATGCACTATGAGTTTTAAAAAAACAAGACTATGAATCATTTTATAGAGGTTCTGGGGAAAGTAGCTACAAATCTTTAAAAATTATCTTATTTATTGGGAAAAAATCCAAGGTTTGGAGATTTTTCTTGATACAGTATTTTAATCCAACCTCCCAAATGCATCCTGTGGAGTTCAATATAAAGATACACATCTTCGACAAGCAGCTTTCTCAATTTAATTTGCGCCGTTCTTTCATGCTCCACTGGTGTGTTAAATGCTGCTGTACTCTACAGGAGTTTATCTTTGATAAACCTAACAGCTGGCTGCTTGCTTCAGACTGACCTTCTTAAAATGTCTTAGTACAAGTCACACAAGTACTACAGATACAAACCGCCATTTCAGTATGATTGGCACACAAGTGTATCATTTTCCCCAACCACTCACGAGAGGACACCAACATGAGTCTTTATTCAAATGCATATCAACAAGCTGAGGCAATGTTGGTCCTTATTAATACCTGCTGTGAATAATTTTTTGTTCACTTGTTTAGCTGCACAAGCTTTAGAACTTTGTAATTAAGGCAAGTCGAGAAATCAAAAAGGAATAATCTTCCGAGTTACTTTACCATCCATTTTGCTTGGAGCTATGATGACAGATGTCGATTGGGGAAAGCAGAAAACAAGCACCACATAAAACCACCAAAAAACAGAGTCAGAATTGTCATTCTAGTATACAAATTACCACTAGATTCTTTTAAATTCACATAGTTTAATAAATTAAACTAAGTAGAAAGATGCTTTCTTTCAGAATAGGAACTACATTAATCAATCAAATTTGATTCTTAAATGCCTTGAACTTGTAATGCCTTTTCAACATAGGAAATTCACTTCCAGTATGTTCTTTTCAGTCCTTCATCTATTCATTCACTAATCAATTACTAAGTATCTACCAGGAACAGAGCACCTCAGGTATTTTGGAAGTCATAATAATGAATGTGAAGTGCTTGCAGCATAGTGTCTAGCACGCTATCTCTAGATATTAGAGTATATCTAATATGTTCCATAGTCAGGTTTATTAAACCACTTAAGACAGGGTAAAATACTCTAAGAAATGAAATAAAAATTTAATGACAAGAATATACTGATGTTTTTCTCACATTCAAACACATCATTTTCTGTATAGAACTGGTGGCTACCATCAGAAACAAGGAAATAAGTCTAGTTAGTCCATGTGATAGAGGTCAATTTCAAAACCTTTTTTATTCTTTCCCCTGTTTTCCATGTGAAGCTAAAATACTAAAGGCCTTGTCAAATCGTCCTGGCTTCCCCCCTCCCCCCCACCTTGAATCAAGCTAGTGTTACATCCCTTAAACTTTACCAAGACCTAAAATTTCCATTATAGCCTATAGATGAGTATGGACATAACATTAAAATTGTCCAAATAGTATAAAAGAACTTTTGCCAGACTGCACGATCAAGGGAGGTGCCTATATATGTAAGGTCCACAGGAGTGAATACCGATATCTCTCAGTAAATCTAAATGGTTAAAGAGGTCTCCCTTCTCTTCATTCAGAAACAACTTAGCGGTTGCTTTGTGGATTGTCATACCATGAAGAGACAGCTACTTTAAAGTTTTCCAATAGAACTTTCAAATTATTAACAAAACAACAGAAAAATTATCCTCCCTAAAAGGAAGCTCTGTGTTTTCCAAAGTTGCTTCCTTATTCACCACAATTTGCCACCATCAACTTCAACTCTCAGAACTGAAGAGTTACCAGAAAGAATTTAAGCAGCTGATACTCTATAATTACCTTAAATAAGTAGAATAATATTTTTAATAATAAAGTACTAGTAGCAGCAGCAGCAGCAACAGCTAAACCAAGGAGGCATTTAATGAGTACTTAATATGTTTCCAAAACTGTATAATTGTTTTACATGAATCATCTCATTTTATCTTCTCAAAGGTGCTAAGAAAAATGAGGCACAAAAAGATTAAATAACTTGACTAAAATCACAGTTACTAAGAAAATACAAAAATCCAAATATAGGGAGTCCAATTTGAAAGCACACAGTTTAAATGCAGTAACTAAGCTCCCTAATTCTAGGCCAAAGTCAGTCCAAAAATAAAATAATGCCCATGTATATGATAGACCACAGACTCATGTTGATACATCAAATCCTTTGTTATATATTTCTTTTGTTTTATATTTGAATGTGCAATTAGGAAGAAGAGGGAAGAAGTTTAGCCATTTTTTCCTAGACATCAACACACACAGGGTTCTCCAAGAATTCATGGTAGAGTATGTCCCAACAATGTTAGATAGCAACATTTCTCTAGGGCCTGTGTAACAATTGAGACAAAAATGAGAAAATAAGAAAATAGGAAAAATACTTTTTACTTTACTAAAATAACATTTATTCAATTTAAAATCCTATCCTTTATTTTGGGACAGAATGTATCCTAGCCTTTCCAATGCTAAAATATGAGAAATGATGATGATAACTTGTATAGGTTGTTTTATTTTTATTAAAATACTAGAGGCCCAATGCATGAGATTCGTGCACTTGGGGGGAGGGGGGTCCCTCAGCCCGGCGTGCACCCACTCGCAGTCCAGGAGCCCTCAGGGGATGTCCGACTGATGGCTTAAACCGTCGGGGGCGGGCCTAAACCAGCAGTTGTACATCCTTAGCGCTGCAGCAGAGGTGGTAGAGGCTCCCACCACAGCCGCTGCACTCGCCAGCCGTGAACCCAGCTCAGGGCTTCTGGCTGAGCGGTGCTCCCCATGTGGCAGCACACTGACCACAAGAGGGTAGCTCCTGCTTTGAGTATCTACCCCCCGGTGGTCAGTGCGCGTCACGCCGTTTGGTTGATTTGCATATTAGCCTTTTATTATGTAGGATTAGACATGTTTGATAAAAATACTGGAATGCCTTTATGTGGCAAAATACAAAATTGAGTACCTTCTCTTATATGGAGGGGTGAAGGTGGGAGGTGGTTTGGGGGAGTAACCCACAAAACACAAAAGGTTAGGGACTACTCTTACATTCCAGTCACCCATCCCAGATGGTAGTTTCTTGAGAAAAAACATGAGGTCAACATTGTTCTGATGACAACTGCTCAGATGTGATGATAAAGATGAGTGTGCGTATAACAGTGAAAAGAACATAGGTCTCTGCCTCTCAACACCAAACCCACCTTTCCATATCTGCTCTGCAGTAATGGAGCCCTTCAGCAAGCATTGCTGCTTTACAGTGAGCATGATGTTCAGCTTTCTTAGAGGACATGCTCAGAGGAAAGGGCTTCTCAGCAGAGATCGGGGACAGGCGGAGGACATCTGCCAGAGCCCTGCCCCAGTCACACGCATCACCCTCAGTGACCTTGCAGGCCTAGCCTGGAGATCACTTTTCTGTGGCCCTCGCAATACAGACACCACATATAGGGCCCCAGCTCCCTCTGCTACCTGTGCTCAGCCATCTGTACTTGCTAAGCAGATTAGTTCTGGCCAAGCCAAACCAGCAAACTACTCTGTCATCCAGTAGGCCGCAACTACACCTTCTCTTTCTACAATGTCTGAACCCCAGCCTGGGAGAAGGGGTTATCCTTCCAATTTTTAAGGGTTCATTTATATCTGATAGTAACTTTTTTATCAGAGCTTAATAAGTCTTAAAATTAAACTTCTTCTTTTAAATCCCTATATGGGCTTTGTGACATATTCTTGGAATAAAAAAGACATGAGTTCAAACTTGACTATTCACCAGCTTGTGGTTTTGAGAAAATTAAAATTATTTAAATGATCTGAGCCTTAGGTACTAAGTCAGAAACTTTATAACTTGTCTCACCATAGAGTTAATATTAGGATTAAATAGAATAATGGGTATAAAGGCAAATGTAGATATTCAAAAAATGGTCTTCCCCTCCCCCTGACCCTTAGCCTACTGTTCATTTACTCTATGCTAAGAAGATACAAAAAGGTGATCAAATGAAAGGGTGTAACTCAAAAAACCAGAATAAAAGAATAGTCAGAGTAAAAAAATAGTCAGAAGCAGACACATTATAAAGCATGCATATTCACTCAACAGAATTATGACATCAACCTTCCAGCATCTGTCTCCTTGAAAATTCCATCCTGATTAGGACACAGTTCACAGCTAGGGGAAACACCACATTTACAGGCATCGCAAAACCAAGGTTCAGTGGAGTTTTCAGAAGCTGAACTCATAATCGAGTCACTCTCTCCATCAACTCCATAGCAACCTAAAAAAAAAAGTATGATTAATAATTTATTTTTTAAACTTATATTTATAAATTCACAAAATAGAAAGGGAAGTAGAGAACATTCTGAAAAATAGTTTATAATAACAACATTAATATCAAAACGCAAAGATGAAATCATTTTTAAAAAATGCTTTTCCACCTACCATAGTATATGCAATAAAAAAGTCATATAAAATAATGCCAAAGAAAACATTTTAAAGAACCTACACTAGTATACAAGATAAGTAAAGTAATCAAAATTCATTAATTTCTTTAATATCATTGAATTGTAGTTGGTAATCATCATCTTCATCACTCTGTTGAGACATACAATTTTAAAATGAAATAGTCATAAAATTAAAAGGAAATACAATTTCCTTGGGAGCAGTTATTATTAATTGTCATTAATAAAACACACTTTTTCAGTAAAGGCAATAATAAGCAAAATATTGTATTTAAAGAAAAATCATAAAACAAAATAAAAATAGTCAATTTGCTTTCTCAAAGGGTTGTGCAATAATAGAAAGGGGGAATTTATTTTCTTTACAAAATAAAGTTCCCTATGAAGCCAATTCTCTCATCTGTATTCACACAAAGAAGGCAATTACCTATCTATCTATATATATAAAAGCCTAATATACTAAGTGTCTGAACAATCGGTCGACCGTTCCATCGACCGCTCAACCAGTCACTATGACGCACACTGACCACCAGGGGGCAGACACTCTGCTGGGGTCCAGAGGATCAAGACTGGGAGAGATGAGCCAGATATGCCCTGGAGCCCTCCCACGGTCCCTCCCCAGCCAGCGAACCTCCCGCAGTCCCTCCCCTGCTGGCGGGCCCCCATCGGCCCTGATAGCCAGCCAGGCCAAGGGACCCCACCCATGCACGAATTCGTGCACCGGGCCTCTAGTTACCAAAATAATAAAGCTCTGAAGGGGCTACCCATTTTATTCTTTTCATTCACCAAAATCAAGGTAAATCACAGAAGTTCCCTTTTTTAGAATAAAGCAAAATTTCAATTCTATTTTTTGAAGAATATACTACACACACAGCAAACATTTGCACAGAGATTTAACCACCTAGGAACAACCTCCAGAATGAATTCTGAGAGCCTTCCCTAGAAAATTTCTACTTGTAAATTAGAAGATTAGTATCTTGCAAGCTCAAAAAACAATCAGCAAGTAGACTGGTATTTCTTCTTCATCTTCACTGCCCCTGAAAAATAACCCACACTGTATAATCACCTTTACAGAGTTCTTCCCTTGCCTTTCACCTGCCACTTTCCCATATTTCTTTGCCACACCTGTTGGGTTTACTCAGCTCTAAACCAAAGTTATTGCTCTTAATGTCTGCTCTAACACATTTTAGTGACTAAATACATTTTTAAATCTTTTTTTCTTTCTTCCATACAAAATAGAGTTTAAACTATCATAAAGAAATGTTCCTTCTCTTTTACCTACCTAATTCTAAGAATATGCAAAAAGTACATCTCCAATATGATCACGGAAAAAGTTTGTTTTATATAGGTAAACATAAAAAAATTACAGACATAAAATACATTTCAGATAGATTAATCATGTTTCAAATGAGTAAACATAGAATACATATTTCTATGGCTATCTAATTAGGATCAACATCTAAGTAACACACACAACCTACACAGATCATAGTTAAGGAAAAATAACATAATATGTGTTTACAATTGTTTTGAATTATGCAAGGGCATGGACAGTACAAATAAGTGGAAATTTTCCCCAGTCAGTGTATCACAAGGGACCAAAAGACCTGCAGCTTTCTACCTTCTGGTTATATAACTGGGCAAACTGCATCTCTGAGACTGAATTACCTCATCTGCAGTATGTATTTAATTATATCTATCCTAATTATTTCTCAGCATAGAGAGGGAATAAAATAGAAACACAAAAGTTCCATTTAAAAACTTAAAACAATTCTTAGTGATTTAACATCCTATCACTAAATATCTGATTACAAAATCCACTGAAAGATTTTAAAGTCAGTAATACAGGGTGTCAAACATGTACAGACACTTTAACAGCTGATAGCTCAATTTTGAAAATTAAGTGTATTTTAATAAGCACTGCCTTTATTCAAAGTGTGTATATACATTTTTGGGGACACTGTATATTGTTATTTATGAGAAAGGAACTTATACATGATACCTGTCAGAAATAGATCCTAACTTCTTATGGGAGGAATTATTTAGAATTTTCAATACAGTTTACTGTAAGAATTCTTGTATTATTATGTAATGCAACTCATTAGGGTTGTAAAATACATTAAATTTTTCTATATGAAAGAAAAATAGGGCTCAGCTTTAAAAAAAAAAAAAAAAAAGAAAGAAAGAAAGAAATAGATCCTAAAGCATAAAAGAACCAACTTTCCTACCCAGTAAACACTCTGCACACACTAAGAAATAAAAATGGTCTAGGGCTAAGCTAAACAGCAGAATGGAAACTAAACGAAAGGGAGGAAAACATCTCTTAGCAGACCTAATCTGATTTAATGCACAGCTACTGAACTGAAGAGTAATTGCTGGTAAGTGCACTACCTAATGCTCTGTCACCCACTGACAACAGACCTGACATTTTCTCCAGACACGGTGCAATCAGTGTATCATGATAACTGACAACACAGTCAGGGGTACCCTGGTATTACAAGTCAGTTACAAGATCGTGTCACAAAGGTGTTTACACTGACAGTTTGGAACCCTTCTATTTCAAAAAGAAAAGAGATTTATCTACATTTAGATGAAGTGAGTCCTCTGAAAACTAATCAGACAATCATACATTTATAAAGCAACATTTGGAGTACTATCTTTTAGCAAAACTTCACCTTAAAAATCTCTCTTAACTGTGATTAATTAGGAGTGTGTTTAAAAATAAGGAGAAGGAGGAAAAGAAGAAGGGGGAAAAGAGAAAAGAAATACACCAAAACACTAACTATAGTTGTCTGGATATTAGGACTATTAGAAATGTCTTTTCTTCTCTCTGTTCTCTATTTCCCACATTTATTCAATGCTCATCTATATATATAAAAGCCTAAGCAACCGTTATGATGGAAAGACCAGAATGACCGGTCACTATGATGCGCACTGACCACCAGGGGACAAACGCTCAACGGAGGAGCTGCCCCCTGGTGGTCAGTGCACTCCCACAGGGGGAGCACTGCTCAGCCAAAAGCCAGGCTCGCGGCTGGTGAGCACAGTGGTGGTGGCAGGAACCTCTCCCACCTCCATGGCAGCGCTAAGGAGCGGCGAGCCAAGTGGTAAGGAGCGAGCAGGTGGGCAATAAAGAGAGAGCAGGTGGGTGGTTAGGAGCAAGCAGGCGGGTGGTAAGGAGTGGTGAGCCAAACAGTAAGGAGCGAGCATGCAGGCGGTTAGGAGTGAGCAGGCGGGTGGTTAGGAGCAAGGGGTCCCAGATTGCGAGAGGGCACAGGCCGGGCTGAGGGACATCCCCTTCCCCCCAACCGCCCCCGCATATGAATTTCATGCATCGGGCCTCTAGTATATTATATTATGATAGGCAACTTGTTTCTAAGATAAAGCATTCATTCAAGTGTTCATTTTTAACCATGGGATGTTTAAGGGAGAGTTGCATGGATGAATTACAATATGAAAATCTGTCATTTAAGCACCTGAATTTTTAAAAAGCAAACAAGCTTTAACAACACTAACTTCCTATTATGCTTTAGAAAATTTCCCTTTCTCTGGATTAATTAATTTAAGATGAAAATTCATTTAAGGACTTAAAAATTAGTAGAGAAAGATCTACAAATGTGATTATATAAAAAAGAACATTCTAAACAGTGAAAAATACCACAAATTGAAAAGGTACAGAACAGAGTGGAAAAAATATTTGTAAAGATGCAAAATAATTGTAACAAAGAGCAGGCAAAGGATTAACACTTAAAAAAGAATTCTAATAAACCAATGAGAAAAAGACAAGTATAACCTATTCAGAAATGACAATCGAAATGTAACGCAAGTAACAAATTAACATGCAAAAGGCCGGTTGGGGAGGGTTTTCACAGGTTTGGCTCAGGAATTGGACCTGGGCAAGTAAACCTGCCATCTTCCAATCTGGAGTGACCTGCCTGCTTCTTCCGTGGCCCCCTGCCCTCCAGCTAAGGGGTCAGTTTCAGATTTCATGGGGAGGCTCTCCCATGGTTCTCCTCCTATCTCATTAGCCAGCCCTGTGTTCCCCAACCACTGAAGGGCTAGGACCACTTTACTACACCCTAGAGAGCACATCCAGTCTCACAGCTTTAAAAACATCTGCAGGCTGATGAGTCCCAAATTCCTATCTCTAGTCCCAACATCTTACCTACACCCACACAGTTTAAAAATCATACTTACACTATCTACCTGCAAACCTGTTCCTCTCTTGGATCACTGCAATGGCCTCCCTAAACTGTCCCCTGATTCCCACCTTATACCTATCTATTCAACCTCCTGCACCATAGCATTCCAAACACTCCTTGTCTAGCTTTATTTTCCTCCAGATCACAACCTAATATATATTTATTTATTATTTTATTTTTTTCATTGTTTGTCTCTCTCCCCAAACTTTAAGCTCCATGAAGTCAGCAATTTCTATATTCTGTTTATTTTACATGTGTAAAACCTACAGAAAGCCTAGTACATGATAGGTACTTAACAAACATTACTGGAAAAAAAAGAATGAATAACAGAAAGAGGAGACATTCCAACAGTGAGCCTTAGCAGCAAGAGAGGGCAGCTTCATATAAAGGCAAGAGGATGGGTTAACAGCACAGGCCCCACAGGCCCCACAGGACCATCAGACTCCCAGAACTATTTGGGAGGAGGGCTGTAATACCAGAAAGACAGCTAAGGGCAAGGCCGTAGAAATATTGTTTTGTGGAAATCATGGCCCTGATAGAAAAATAATAATAATATTTTTTAACTGATAGGAAAAAATAATAATTTTACCAGAGGAACCTAGAAGACAACTTCTCAACTAAGTAATCAGAGTAACATCACCAGCCACTGGACAAATAAACATTATATGATACCCTGAGAATACAGTGTAACTACTGTGAATTCCTGCCTAAAGCCCATAACCTGAATCTAATCAAGAAAATAAATGTTAAATAAAGATATTCTATGAAAGAATTGGCCTGTATTCTTCAAAAATACCCATGGCATGAAACACAAAAATCTCAGGATATGATCTAGATCAGTGATGGCGAACCTATGACACGCGTGTCAGAGGTGACACGCGAACTCATTTTTTTGGTTGATTTTTCTTTGTTAAATGGCATTTAAATATATAAAATAAATATCAAAAATATAAGTCTTTGTTTTACTATGGTTGCAAATATCAAAAAATTTCTATATGTGACACGGCACCAGAGTTAAGTTAGGGTTTTTCAAAATGCTGACACACCGAGCTCAAAAGGTTCACCATCACTGGTCTAGATTAAAGGTGCCTAAATAGTCAAAACAATTGAATGCAATCTGGGATCCTGGATTTTATTTTTCTAGAACTGACATTATTGGGACGATTGCTAAAATGTAAATACAGTTGGTAGATTAGATAATAGTATTCTATCAGTGCTAATTTGCTGACTGATAATTATGTGCTTATGTAAGACAGACTGCCCTTTTTTCTTAAGAAATACACACTATGGCTATAGTTTACTCCCTTTGAGATCAGAAAAAATGTTATATGAGAGAAAAGATAAAACAAGGGTAGTAAAATGTTACCATCTATAAAATCTGAGTGAAGAAAATATGGGAAATTCTTTGTATTACTCATAACTTTTTTGTAAGTCAGAAATTACATTAAAATAAAAATTTTAAGTAAATATATATATATATATATATATATATATATATATGACAAAGAAGCTTCAAAAATTATAATCAGGAAAAATACTTCCAATATTCTCCTTTCAAATTCAAAATTAAAAATAACTATGAAAGAAGAAAGCATATTAATCGCTAGACTTAGAATGTAACTTTATAAATACTGCAAACTTTATAAATACTGCCATGCATTCTACTAGACTAACTTATAAGACTTTTTCTACATCTGAATTTTATTTAAAAACTAGAAATAAATAATACCATGAAGAAAAAATATAACACTGACCATCAAAGAAATACTGTGGCTTCCACATCATAACAGTTCTATTTTAATTATTTAAGAACACATTTAGAGTGGTAAGAGGTTGAAGAGGGTAAAGAAGGTCCAATATATGATGACAGAGAAGACTAAGCTTTGTGTGATGAACACATAATGTAACATATAGATGATGTATTATAGTATTATACACTTGAAGCTTACATAATCTTATTAACCAATATCACCCCAATAATAAATTTTTTTAAAAAACACATTTAAAGTTAACATCTGAAAAATAATACCATCGTACTTTAAGGATTTAGTATGTCTTACATCACTTGAAATATCATGAACTACAGGAAAATCTTAAAAATAGTACAAATGTCAAAGAACTAATTTTACTTTTTTAAATGCAGTGTCAATCTGCCATTTCTAAAAAGAGAAAAAAAACAAAGCAAAATTACCTTCATGAACTGTAATGCCACAATTGTCACACTGAATTATTTCATCAGCATCTTCGCTATTATCTCCAAGACAAACACAGCAAATCATAATATGGTCCATTTTTTGAGAACTCCAGTTTTGACTCTTCTCAAGAATCAGCGAGTCCTAATTATTAAAATATATCAGAAAATCACATATTTATATTAAAAGATAATTTTAATAAATGAAAGTCTCACTTAAAATTATTTTATGCATTTCCATAATTATGCTGCATTCTCCATTCTTTTAGTAATTTCAGAGTATGCTACATTTGAGAAGTACACCTCTTTGTCAAAGAACCCTATAACTGCCCTCTATTTTTTCACTTCTCTTCAAGTCCCATATACTTTCTCCTCTAGGAAATGAAAAAGCAAGCATGTAACTAACAAATCTACATTTGCTTTTCCATTCTGAATTACAGTCTAACCCCTTAAACTAGAAGAAAGGGAAAATTAACCCACAAGTATTTATCCATCCTATACATTAGTTTAAAAAGTATACAACATTAGGCTCTTACTCTTTGGAAACTTACAATCCTAGCTAGGGAAGACAAGACACACATATGTTAAACAGGAAAAAACCAATTCAAGATAACATGTAAGCAACTATGTATGTGATGGCATAGTTACAGGGGAATATCCTGTATATAATCCTTACGTGTATAAGGGGAGTTCAGGAGCACCAGGGTCATCCAACTACTGGATGACAGATACATGAGTACCTACCTAGGTATATCTGTATATACAGGTACAGAAAACCATCTAAAAAAAGATCCAGGTTGACTAGTTGCTAGAAGAGGCAGAGCATTCATATTAGGTTTATGTCAAGAAATATCTAGTGTAAACTGGTAAGAAAGATACCTAGCTAATTGTAATGTAAAAGGAGAAAGATATATTAATAAATATAAAAAGATAAAATTTCAAGAAAGGAAGAGTTTGTTTCTTTTCATTTAAGCCTTCTGCATTATGGATTTAAACTTTAAAGGGTAAGTTAACAAGATAATAATTCTTGTCATATTTCACAGATTGGGCTTAGTGTTACATAATAAAAGATGGCATTTGAGTCTATATATTTTCATTTAAGAACCTAACCATATTCAGAAACAAAATTAATAAACTAGTTCTATATTCTACATTCACTAAATACTGTTTCATATTAACGTTTATATTTTTATATTCTTTTAAACTAATATTGAAAGGTATCATTTCAATAGCAATTTGTAACATCTGAATGACACTTGAATGTCACAATTTATAACAATCTTTCAATATATTTCTGTGTAATACATGTAAACTTGCAATAGATCTATAAAACAAATCAAGAAAACAGTACAAAAGAGGTATGCCATATCTCCTAAGAATTCCAGTACTTTAAAATATTAAGTTTGCTTCTTTTTTTTTTATAAAAGCAAAGTAACTGAGGGGCTTTGGACATGGCAAGCAAGTACAGCTAAAACCTTCCTAAAAAGAAAATGTGTTTTACAATACTTTGGTACAGTAAGCAACGTAAAAATATGCCCAGATTCCATTCCATTAGCCATGCTTCAAATGTAACAGCATTTGACTTAGAGTCAAATGTTGTTTGGTTTCACTTTCATCTCTTATTCAATAGCTGTTGAACCTGAAGCTGCAGTTTTCTCACCTGTAAAATGGGATGATAAAAATAATACCTACCTCATGAGGTTGTTGTGAGAATTAATAACATAATGTATGTTAAAATGTTCCCAAGACATATTAGGTACTCAATAAATGTTCATTCCCATTCTTCTTTCCCCTGTATTTTCTTGTAGGTGGGTCAAAAGAGAAACATTGAGATGACCTTTATTACACAGGGGAATCTTCCTCGGAACCCCAAAAGAAAAGTTATAAGCCTCAATGACCACACTATTATAGACTAGAGGGCCGGTGCATGAAGTTAGTGCACTCAAGGGGGGGGGGAAGGTCCCTCAGCCTGGATTGCGCGAGGGCGCAGGCCAGGTTGAGGGACCCCACTGGTGCACGATCGGGACCGGAGAGGGACACAGGAGTTTGGCCAGCCAGGGAGGGACCGCGGGAGGGCTCCAAGGTGTGTCCGGCCCGTCTCGCTCAGTCCCAATTGGCCAGACCCCAGCAGCAAGCTAATGTACCGGTCGGAGCATCTGCCCCCTAGTGGTCAGTGCACGTCATAGCGAGCGGTTGAGTGGCCTTAGCATATCATTAGCATATTATGCTTTGATTGGTTGAATGGATGACCAGACACTAAGCATATTAGGCTTTTATTATATAGGATACTCTCCCATGGTTAAGTCCAAAAAGACTTTTTTCTCTGCATCAATTTCAAAAAACTTTTTTCTTAGAATACCACATGTAGGTTTTAAAAATCACAGACTAGGAAAAGACCTAACAAACAACCAGTTTGATAACTGAGAGGATACTCAAGTTTATGGGCTGTGACAATATTTCTCTCGTGAAATTACAACTAATCAGGCCTTGGAAAAGATTTATCCATGTGGGAAACAAGTAAATTTCTATGGATCAGAAAAATTAATATCAACAGGTAGCTCTAATTCCATTACTTTCCTATTTTTCTGTTTTGCTCAGGAAAATAGTAAGTGGCTAAATTATATCTCCGCACCAATTTTCTCCCTATACATATTATCATTTAGAGGCAGATATAACAAAGTTAACTGGTATCTCTGGCCCTCTGTTCCCCATTAATAGAAAGTCTTACTAGCAATGTAATGAAAAAATGAGAGAAAAATGAGGGGAACTAGAGCCCTAAAATAATACTACCAAATCCAATGGTTGATGGCAGGCAATGCTTCAATGGAAAAATCTGAATAACACAGTCTCATAAAAATTATGCTCCAAGTTGTCCTTAATATATCAAACATGGGTTTAAGCACACTTATAATCAGAATATAACAGTCAATTTAATATCAGTTTTTATTAGCATATTTCTAAAGATGTATATCATTTTTCAAGTTTTTGGACAAAATAGTTAAGCTAGAGTTTTCACCACAGAATATATCATTTGAAAATACAACTTTTACATAAAAATAAAAATTGGGAAGGTTGGTTTGAGTGGCACAAAAGTATCACCTAGAATATAACCTTAATATTATAGAATAATTTAAAGGATTCTAATGGTAACTTTAAGAATAAATGGGACATTACAGTATATCATTTCATTTTCCCCTTGAGATTTAAAATTTATACCAAAAAATGTTAATATTTCCCAATGGTCTCGTGGCTCTAAAATATGGTTAATGTTCATTTGTGTATATTCCAAATAGATGATTATAAACAATATATAAAAATGGTAAATTCTAAGTTATATGTATTTTTAATAAAAGGAAATTCCAGCACAGTACATGTAAAAAAGAATTTAAGGAATCTATTGCCTTGAAGAAGAGAAAAAATTAGTATACCAAAGAGTTTGACCAATAGTTCTTCCTCCACGTTTTTAAAGAAAGTTAAATTCTTAAGAATCTGAAGTAATTTTTCTACAGTGTTATAAACTGATCTTTTAGGCCTTGGAGAAATTTGTTTTATTTTGAAATGTGTACAAAGGCAGTTGATTAATAACTAAAATGCCCTAAACACAGTGGCTATTTATAAATTTCAGCAAAATTTTTACATTTTAATTAGCAAATCAGATGGTAATTGCCATTTCCTCACATGGCAAGACACTAATATCCATTTAATATGAGTTTTTATTTTAAAACAAAAAGAGTAACTTCCATCTGAAAATTTCTATTGATATGATTTTCTGTCATATATTTACCCAAAGCTCTACTCTTAAAGTCCTAAAAATGGAAACCAGGCTCTGAAAAGACTACACAGCCCTCCCCAAAAAGTATACTTCAGAAAACTAAAAGGAAAGATAACCTTAGTAAATCTCAAAGCTTCAAGATAAAAGTTTGAAAAGGCACATAACCATATTCTGAGGGGATTGTAAAGCTTCAAGATAAAAGTTTGAAAAGACATAACCATATTCTGAGGGGATTGTTCAAATAGCCCCAAATTCCAAAATGCCATAATGCCACTAACAAAGGCAAGTACCCTTATGCAGAAAATGCCCAATTCTAGAACAGTGGTTCTCAAGATGTGATCTAGGAAGTCTCCTTTAGGGAGATCCACAAGGTAAAGTCTATTTTCATAACAATACCAAGGTTATGTGCCTCTTTCACTCTCTATCACGGGTGCAAGCTAAAGTTTTTCACAAGCTACAGGATAGGGGATGGCATTATTGATCTGACAACTTATGTTCTTCTATGTCTTATTTTTTGAAATGGTAAATATCTACATATAACCTATATAAATAAAAACTGGTGTCCTCAATATTTTTTTTAAGAGTGTAAAGTGGTCCTGAAACCAAAATGTTTGAAAACCACTGCTCTAGAGTATTTCAAAATGTTTGAGAACCACTCCCCTAGCACATATAGATATGTTCAGGCCATTAACAGCCAATAGTTATAAAAGGTCCCTGCTCAAAGAAATGCAAATTATTAAAGTTCCTGGGTATCATTTACATGACACACAAAATATTTCCCTACAAAGCACTTGACATAGAGCCAAGAAAAAAGTCTATATGCTTATAAATTAAATATAATTCTATTAGGTATTTCTAAAGCCACATTTTAGCTGTCTCTACTACAAAATAGTATTTGAAAACTTAAAGTAAAAGCAGAGAAAAATTAAACTTCAAATATAACCAAATGTATACTTATTAACGAATGGGTACTTGGCAAGATATAACTACCTACAATAGCCAGAAAGATACAAACATTGGCTATCAGGCAACAAGGATTACCTTTAGTCACCTTTTTACAAAATCAAAATCATATGAATAGGAAATTTAGAAGCATAAGATAAAATAATAATCTCAATTGATTCATTTTTATTAAAATTTAATATCTAATTTGAGTAACAGTCTTGGGTTAAACAGTTATCAATCTTTCAGATAGAATATTATTGAAGGGAAATTAACTTTCTATAAGTTCTACATTTCTGCACAGGGTAGAGCAAAAGGAAAATTAACATAAAATAACAGAAGAGGAATTAATTTATTTACTTAAGAAAACACAAGGCACTTTTCCAAGAAATGTTCTGAAATCTCATTTCTTTGGGACTGTTAATCTAAAAACGTAAAGTCCCATTATTTACTAAAGTCTCTTCTGGGTAAGGAAAAAAACAGCACATGTGGCCTTTAAATGCATCCTAAAAATAGCCTACAACCTCGTAAGCAATATATTATTAATTACAGATTATTAACAAATGGATAATGTGGCAAATTTCTAAACATATGGTATCTCCACACTGCCTCTATCATCAGCCAGCCTACTTTTGTGAATGTCAGGCTAATAAAAATGAAGGAAGTGATGCTGCCAAAAGCAAATTTATTCAGTAAATACAGATGGAATACTAAGTGATATAAAATAAGCTGGATACATACCTAAAAATCAAATATGAATAACTGGATTTTCCATACTTCTATCCCCATAAATTGGCATTGAAAATATGGAATTGCCTGTGCTACAACATTATAAATACAGTATTATACTCCAAATGACAATTTTTCTTTACCTAAAGATAAGAATTAAGATAGCACTTGAGGTAAGCAACATCCTCCTATGAAAGTGGGCACACTAGAAGTTAAAAAATGTTTATAATCTAAAATATAAACTTTGTTTCATCTCTACTGACACATAACCCTTATCGACTACTATAAATTATTTGGTTGATAACATCACCAAAATTATAAATGATACTTAGTTAGGATGGAAAAGCACTGGTATATAAAATTTGTAAGCAAAAGAAATGTAAAAGAACAAATAAAGCATAAAAGGAAAAATATCCTACCAGTTTAACCTGTCAATGGTATGAAAAAACAACAAAAATAAGTGCTTGATAAAGTGAACGAAGTGAATTTTCATGACTATAAACACACTAACAAAATGACAGACTTAATTATTCTAGTTCTACATGTGATGTAACAGATACATCTACATGTGAAAAGACAACTCAATCTTTCTTTTGAAGAAAAACATGTACATAAACACACAGACAAAAAGACACAAATGTGTTTGACTGAAGAGTCTTGAATGCTGCATCTTGGGCCCAATGGATATAAACCTAACTTTCAGGAGAACTTCAAGTGGAAGAACTGAATCATTACTGTAGTTTTATGATAAAAATGTTTGTTTGTTTTCATTTCTTTGTAGAGAGAATTTATTCACTAAATATATGTAAACATATAGTTTAGTTTTACTTCCATACATCTAAAACAAAGATTTGGTGACCATTTAAATGATGGTGCTGCAACTGGTAAAGAAATTAACCTTGAAAATTAATCTCTAAAAGTCTGAGACAATCGTTAAGCTGTGTTACCCTGCTAAAGTAGTCTAAAAGCCTCAACTTTTATATGGACCTGAATATAACTAAGTTGAAAGAAAGGTGACCTTTCTCATAATCCAATTAGCACAATTTAGTAGTCCTATGAACAATGGGGTGAGAGGATAGAAAGGTAAAAGAAAAACCCTACCATTTCCCAAGTCTAAGGATATAAAAATATTCCTCTACATAGATAGACTGTGAGCTCTTGAGAACGATGTTGTGAGCTCCTTGAGAACGGTGACACAGAGTAGGTACTCAATAAAGGTTGGTTGGCCAAATGAATAAATGCTATAGTTAGGGAGTTCATTCACTCCTACAACTGTCTACAAATAGGATTTCAAGGAAGCCACTTAATATAAGTAGACTGGTTTAGAGAATTCCCTCTCCCCAGACAGACAGATATCATAAAAATTGGGTTGATCTACCTCATTACTCTTGCTCTGAGATAGTGTCAGGCTATCATTGGTCAGTTCCTCATCATCAGCACTGTTTCTGCTAAGAACTTTACTCTTCTTCTTCTTGCAACCCCCTTCACTGGCAGGGCTGCTATGATCTTCTTCATTGCCTTCATCATTCTCATCCTCCTCACTCCCACTCCCCTCATCTTCATCATCCTCATTGTCTCCATCACTTCCTTCTTTCTGAGATGCAGATCTCCCCTTTCTCTTTACTGCAGTAGGCCGCCAATCATTGTCATCTTCACTGTCATAGTCATCCATGTCATTCAATTCTTCCATGGACACAAAATCCAAAAGTGGTCGATTTCGACGAAGGTTCCACTTTTTTGGCTCACTGACTTGTTCCTCTGTAGTAGTTGTAGTAGGGACTGAAGGAGATGCGTTAACAGCAGGAGGACTTGTGGCTGGTGCGGTGGCAGCAGCAGAAGCAGCCACATTATCAGATACTGTTGCTTTTTCTTTCTCCTTCTCTCTCTCCTTCTCTTTTTCTTTCTCCTTCTCTTTTTCCTTCTCTTTGTCCTTTTTCTTTCTAGGTCTTTCTCCATTTTCTTCTTCCTTCTTTTCCATTTTAATTAACTGTTTTTCTGATGACAGTATTTCCTCCTCTGCAGAATTTTTAAGTGGTTCTTCTTTTACTTTAATATCTTCATTTAGTTCTTCCTCTAAAATATTTTCTTCAGAATCACTACAGGAACCTTCTCCACTGTCCTTTGAGGGGTCTTCACTTCCATTACCACTCCCTTCAGAATCTGTTGAAAATATGAGAAAAAAAAACCACACATATGTATATACATACACACACACACACACAACGCTGACACAAATGAAACCACCAAAATCTGTGAGTAACTTGCAAAACAATATAAACAAATTTAAGTCAAATGATGGTAGACATTACTAACCTGATTAAATAATAAATCAATGAAGTTGGTGTAATGGTTTTATTTCAATATAGCATTAATGAAGACGAATATATGTAACTCTAAATTAAAATATGCTTTAAAAGAGGAGCACTGTTTTGTCATATAGCGCATGCTTTACTTGGTACCCTAAAGGCAATTTTTTCTAAAAGTAGATGTCATTCTGTATAAATTGGGCACGTGGTTTTAACTTAATGATAATAGAATATGCACCATAGTCTTCTACCCTTACATCTTCCTTTCATAAACTATATAGACTTATAAACATTGAGTTACATTCAGAACAAGAAAATCCTGGCCCAAAAAAACTTTGTTTCATTGTTTCATGCTTTACCCAGCAAAATTAAGCATAGATATTTATGATAGTCAACCTGTACCACATTCCTACTAAACCCATCAATTTTAGGAGCACCAAGTACATAGATGAGAAGAGACAATAGCAATGGCACAGAAAATGGAAGTTGCAAGAGAAGTTATCAATTTTCCTGCTTATTAGGATATCAATAAAAGAATCACCTAAACTTTCAAAAATTCTAGGCAATAACTGCTATATCTCCTAGAATGAAGAAATTAATAAATTTTTTTTAAAACTAAGCCATCGAGCAACCACAGTAGTCACTAAAAAGATAGGCGAAGGATATCAAATAGTTCACATAGGACTATAAGGCTTCTAGCAAGTTTCTTCCGTTCCTGCCTAGCAAAGCCCAGGCACTCTTAAGTCAACACTATTCAGTAACCTTCTAATCATCTTTATGCCTGATCAAATAAAACTCTAAAATATCTGTAGAGAGGGACACAGGGAGGAGAAAAAAGGAAGTGGGAAACAAAGCAGTCATAGTTAGATCATAGCCAGCAATAGTAATAAAATCTGTAGGGTGATGAATATTTTATACCTATAACCAAGGAAAGGGTAATAATAAATTATGAAAAAGTTTATGTTTCTACATCATTTTAATTCCTGTTAACTCAACCAGCCTTAGCCTCTATAATTAATTGGGCATTAGATGTAAAGAAATTATCTATGATTAGTATCTAGTATTTAAAATAGGTCAAAATGCTTTTATAAATAGCTGATAAAATTTAAATCCTGCTAATTAAATCACATTTTTTTAAAAAGACTAACATTTAGCAAATGTTGACTGACCTTATAAAATCATTGTCAGTCCCTAGGTTTTCATGCAGGTACTCATAGCTTACTCAGGACTGTTGTGGAGAAACACTCTCATCCTAAAAATTCTTGCATGGGACACAAAATCGTGTAGGTTAACAATCCCTTGTCTGAACTTTTTGGAGGCAGATGTTTCAGAAGTTAGACTTTGTTTTTTAGATTTTAGAAGGGTAGCGGAGTATATGCAGAATATATCACACTAGCACCTGCCCTATAGGTAAATACATAATTTTGCAGTAATATGTATGAATAGTTATGATTATGATAAATATATATTACAAATAAATTATCAGTACCAATCAGGTTTTACCATCAAACAGTTTATGTCAAACTTAAGAAAGACCTGTGAATTTGTGGCTCCTCGGATTTCAAAAAAGTGTGTGGACCCAATTTTCACTCACAAATAGGTGACTTCTTTCAGTCCAGTAGCTCTCAAATCATTAAGAAAATTATGATTTTTTTTTAGACCACTCACAATTAAACCCAACTTACAAAAACAAAACAAAACGAAACAAAAAACCTCTGGCAAAAAAGAATCTCTATGCAGACTGACTAAAGAAAATTGGAACATCTTGCAAGCAAGCCAATAATTAAGAGAGCTGGCAGATGGACAAAAGGTACTTTCTCCTGGATTAATCTTCTAGAAGCCATTTTACAAATACTTAGAAAGCACTCCTTAGTTATTTTTACCAATGAAAAATAACAATGGAACCCAACCCCTGTGGCTCAGTGGTTGAGCATCGACCTGTGAACCAGGTCACAGTTTGATTCGTGGTCAGGCACATGCCCAGATTGCGGGCTCAATCCCCAATGTGGGTCGTGCAGGAGGCAGCTGATCAGTGATTCTCTCTCATTATTGATGTTTCTATCTCTCTCTCCCTCTCCCTTCCTCTCTGAAATCAATATTTTTAAAATAAATAAATAACAATAGATTCCAATGTAAGATTAACTGGGGCACAAAAGTGGATACCTGATCAAAACTAGAGGAATTTAACTTTGCTATTAGTAAATTTTACAAACCATAAAGTATGTTTATAATTTTAGTTTGGTTGTTGTTGCCAATACCAATCAATTAATTATTTTTCAAAGTAGAGGGAAAGTGATACTTTAATTCTGTTTTTATTCTATAATCACGCCTGAATAAAAAGCAATTTTGAAAAACTTAAGCTTTACATTTATTAATATGTCATTAGAAGAATGTGAGTTTTTTCCACAAATACAAATCCTAATAGCTTACCCAACCCATCATTCTCCAAATATAACATATTAGCCATACTCCAACTGCAGCCATCAGGAATATATCAAATTTTATTTTTCTTTGATCTCTGAAAAATAATTAGTCATCACTTCTTTTTAGTACATATGCACTTGAGGGATGGAGATAAAAATATTTAGTCACAGTGTAGCTTGGCAATAATGAGAATGAGAAAATCAGAGTTCTTGGCTGTCTATATTTTTATAGGCTGCAAAGAAATATTTCATGTTACTATGAATTCAAACAAAGACTCTGCCATATTCCAAATCTATCACTCTTACACTCTTCAAAGAAAAAAAGAACAGACTAGAGAAGTAATCCAAATACTTCAAATACAGCTAATCTTAGGCATAAGAACCAGATAATTCTAAGTCTATAATAAAAATTTTGACACTAGAAAAAAGTTTTGAAATTGAAATCCATACTTCCTACTCAGTTAAACAAAAAATAACCTTTCTCAAACACACTCTATCAAAATCTCTCCAATCAATAGCTATTTCAACTTACAGACAGATTTTTTTGCAGTTACAGAATTTTTTTTAAAAATCCGTCAAGAATCCCTTCACAATATTCAATGCTTAAGTTTTCCCCAAGATAAATATCAAACAATAAAACCAAAAATGAAACAGGATTTAAATCAGAATTTTATGTTAGCTTTGCAATATAAAGAATCATCTTTGTTCATCAAATCTAAGTATTTATTCTGTTCATTGATGCAGTCCAACAGGGATTAGAATTATAAATATACACATCAGACAACAGATCACCGTCTACTGCTGATTGTTATCATCTTGTGACCATTTTGACAAATCCTGTAAAGCTATTTTTAAAAAGCCAATCAGTCAACACAACTCACCCTCTATTTCCAGCTGTGACGATTTTGTCCCACAGAGGACATCTGGCAGTGTCTAGAGAGAATGGTGGCCATGAAAGGTCCAGGTGTAGTAATACACAGCACAGGCCTCCACAACAAAGAATTGTCCAACACAAGATGTCCATAGTGCTGAGTTTAAGAAACCCTGGTCTAGCATATAAGGCCTCAAGGTGACCTCATTCTACTTTCCCAGGCTCATCCCTTCTATTCTTTTATTCAGTCGCGATCCAGGATTAATAAACATTTTCCAACCTCTACACTTTCAACACTTAATGTTTCTCCATCTAGATTTCAGTTTCTAATTTAACTCTTATCTCAATGACTTCTCCTAGATCAATCCATCTAGAGTAGACCTGTATCCTTTGAGAGACTTAAACTGCGTAAGTGATCAAGCATGCTTTGTATCATCTATTCATTATTTTATCTAATTACTCTAATGTTATCACTATTTCTTAGTGAATTCACCATAACATCCAGAAAAGTACTTTGAAACAAAACTACAGATGATCAAGAAACATTTTGATCCACTGAAGCTAAAGTCAAATTAAGCACAAAATATTACCAAACCAAAGTCTCAGCCTAACTCTTCCAGCTAAATTACTCTCTGACAATTTCACCTAACTAAACTATGACTTAAGATATAAAGTTAACCTTCTTACTTTGGCCAGAAGGTTAGGGGACACGGCATTGTTATATTGTCTTATTTAATAAAGGTAATATATATACTTTTCTTCAAAAAGATTCCATTTATATAGCAGATTACTCAATGAATCTATCCTAGCCCTAATCTTAGGTCCAAGTCTCAAATATAACCACTTTAGGCCAAAACATGAAATTGATAATATTTGACAGTTTTATACCTATAAAACTGGTCATTTTATAGAGCTTCACCTAACATTTCTATATATGGCTTTTCTGGTGGTATCACAATAATTCTAATACACTTATATCCCATTTTAGGATTTATTAATTTTAAAATTTATTTATTGGCTCTCAACAAAAGTGAAAAACTTAGGGGTGGGGTGGGGGGAAGAGATTAACCAAAGAATTTATATGTGTATATGCATTGCCCATGAACACAGGGAAAGGATAAAGGCCTGGGGGGCAGGGAGGACAGGTGGTAGGGGACAAGGGGGAGAAAAGGAGGAGCATTTGTAATACTCTCAACAATAAAGATTAAAAAATAGATAAAGAAATAAAAATAATTGTTTAAAAAAAGAGAAAACAAGTGAAAAATTTAGCTCTATTTTCACCTTTGAGATAAAAGGTAATCTATATTCAGTTCATTATTTTGAATGGTAGAGGCTTATAATTATTGTCAATAATCACTGTCAGATAATTTTTGAACAATATTTCTTTTTAGATTTATCATCTGAGAAACACATGAATAAAATTATGTTTATCTGCAGGGGTCTTAAATATAACCTTTGTCTATAGAATTTTCAATATTTATTCTTAGAGCCAAACAGAAATATGAAGTTTTGTAGTCAGAATTCAGATTTCAAAATGAAAATCAGAAGAAACTGATGCAGAGAATCAGATAAAAATTGAGGCAAATCAATCTAAGCATTTTAACATTAAGTTCTAAGAAAGTCAGGAGTCATTCCTAGAAATTGTTTGGAAAGAAATGGTTTTTATTTCTCCACTTTCAGTTTAATCAATTCATAGATAAGGTTGGGATTCCACAAAGTCAGAATGTTTAAAAAGCAGTGATAAGTTTAATGTCTTATTTCCTGTAAGAGTCCAACTATCTCAGACAGAGAAAAGATGCAAATAGGAATCACTGGTAATCTAGAATAAGCCAACATTTCAGCCATGGGAGACACCAATGCTCCTAATCCAAGAGCAGAAAATATCATTCAATTTCTACTGACTATGAACTATTTTAAAGAAAATCATTTTCTACTAACTCTCATTTACAATAACATCAAGAACTACACAGATAAATTTTGACTCTGGGTCACAATTTAATCTCCCCAGAGGTCAAGAAAGTAGGTATTATGTATACAGATTTTTAGTGCTTTTAGAATTTCTTTTAATTATCAGCTAATAAAACTCATCCTACCACTTACCACAAATAATAGATAATTCCCATTAACTCTGATTAAAATTTAACAAGTTCAGGAATCTCTAATTAGCTTGATATCATAAATTATTTTGAGAAAGTAGTTTGTACCATTAAATTGTTTTAAATGTTGTAAAAGAGAAGTGATACCTGTGAATGACTCCATCTTAATAAGCAAAAAGAAAAAAAATTACAAAATCAGAATTTATTGCCAAAAAATAATTATGGAACATTTAAAGAAATTAAGCTTTGGAGTTTTTCCCATAATGGTATTCAAATAAGTAATAATTTCTGAGATCCAACTACTTTAATCACACTTTACAATCTGGACCATAACAAATCAAAATAACATTCGAGTCAAGAATATTCTATCTGCCAAGGTTTCACCAAGAGAACTAAAGTAGATTTGGATTTTACCCCCTTGCCCTTCCTTTTCTTTCCCTTCTTTGGTACCAAGCACCAGTGAATCAACTAAATGGAAGGTAAAAGAGGTGAGAAGGTTAAAAAACAAACAAACAAAAATCAAGATAAACTTAACAACTTTTGATTACTGAGAGTGACCTGATTAGTCAGCACACCATCCAAGTAGTTTTGGTTTAAGATTATATCCTTATCTCTGTTTAGGATCTAAGCAGAGAAAAAGACTAAATTTTGGAATCAAAAGACATGGATGAGAATCCACTATGGCCTGAGTGACCTCATGCAAGTTCTTTAAATTCAGTTCCCCTATTATCAAAAAATATCTCCTTTGCTAAGTTACTTTAAAAATTAAATGAGATTATGGGAACAAAAAGTTCTCAGTAAGTCACAAGTGAATTCTGATTGTTGATGCTATTAAAAGTAATACTAGTAACATAACCTAACTTCATCCCTTCCTTACCATCCCTAGCAGAAAAAAAAAAAAACAGAAAGGAGAAAGACTAAGCATAGAAAATTCTATGGAAGAATACTTAAAATCTCTTAGAGGAATGCGCCCTGGCCAGGTAGCTCAGTTCGTTTCAAGTTCCATCTCTGGTCAGAGCACATACATGAAGCAACCAATGAATGCATAAATAGGTGAAACAACAAATGGATGCTTTTCTTTCTCTTTCTCTCTCTCTCTCTCTCTCTCTCTCTCTCTCTCTCTCTCTCTCTCTCATCAATAAATAAATCTTCGAAGTATTTTTAAAGCCTGTTAAAAGGATGAAACTGTAAGGCAGCAGTTCTCAACCTGTGGGTCGCGACCCCTTTGGGGATCGAACGACCCTTTCACAGGGGTCCCCTAAGACCATCGGAAAACACATATATAATTACATATTGTTTTTGTGATTAATCACTATGCTTTAATTATGTTCAATTTGTAACAATGAAATTGGGGGTCACCACAGCATGAGGAACTGTATTAAAGGGTAGAGGCATTAGGAAGGTTGAGAACCACTGCTGTAAGGGCTTTCATTTCTCTCTTTAAATTTCCACTCAAAAGGGGCAGAATAGCCCTAACCGGTTTGGCTCAGTGGATAGAGCATTGGCTTGTGGAGTGAAGGGTCCAAGATTTGATTCAGGTCAAGGGCATGTAGTTGCGGGCACATCCCCAATAGGGGGTGTGCAGGAGGCAGCTGATTGATGTTTCTCTCTTATCAATGTTTCTAACTCTCTATCCCTCTCCCTTTCTCTCTGTAAAAAATCAGTAAAATATATTTAAAGGGGGTGGGGGGCAGAATAATAAGTAATGTTTATTGTTCACATATTTAAACATAATTTGTATCCATTTCAATTAAGATTTTATATGTATCTTTATATGAGCTACAATGAACAGAACAAAGTCAACCATACTCTTCTATGTTTTCCAATTTTGTACAATGTGAATATATGACCTTTTTAAAAAAGTTTATTTTTTAAATCACAAAACATAGAGCAAGCATGCATGCTTTACATCTCAAGAGATTTTTGAAAGGCCCAACCCACAAGCAAGGTCCAGTGGCTACTATGAAACACAATTTTTTTCTCTGATCAGCTTTAGTAAAACTCCCCTCAGAGGGTGCGCCAAGTGATATGAAAAGAGAAGAACCCTGCTCATGAGCAGTTCATGGCTCACATTACTGTCAGGATATTATTCTACCTCGTGATATCTCTCATTTTCCCCCTCTATCCATCAAATAAGCATAACTATATTTCCAAGTAAAGAATAGAGAAAACGTTTTTGCATCTTTGGAAAAAGTCCTCTGGCAGGTTCATTAAGAATCAACAAAAACGGATAACAATGATCGGACCTAGTGATAGGATCTTAGAGAAATGTGGGAAATCAACTGTACAAAATAAATGAAGTTTATGTGCTTTAACTTTAAATTGGCATTGTAATCAAAACCAATTCTTTAAAAAAAAAAAAAAAGTCTGAAAATAAACCCAACTTCAGAGAGCTGGGAAAGGGGAGAAACATTTACCTGAGGCATCTCCAACTTTAAAATCACTGTCATCTGAACTATCATAATCGAGAGCTTCTAGCAGAGAAGCTGCCAAAGGCTTCACCTGCCTCCTCTTGGAGCTGCGATCCACTGTTAAGGAAAAATAAATAAAATTATAGCGTCATTCAAAACCACACAAAGCACAGGGGAGAGCAGTGGTGCTGTGGGAAGGTGCAGAAGACCTCCTGCTAGGGGTCTTCATCTGACTCAGCTCTGGGCTAAAGGTGTTGGGGAAGGTGGGTGGGAACGCGGGCTGGGAGGGCCGGTCGGTCGGTCGGTCGGTCGGTCGGCGAAGGCGACCTTCCTGCACATCTTGTGATGTTTCCGCGGGTCGGTCGTCACCCCTCATTGAGGCACCGTGACCGTCAACAGAAAGCACACGCCAGGCCCAGGGAAGAAAAGAAGTCGCGATCGCTCCCGCGGACCGCGAGGGGCACGCGTCCACGCAGCGCCCCACCCCCGCCCCGCTGTCCCACCGGCTCTGCCTCCTCCGAGGGCTGAACGGACCTTCCTCCCCGCGGAGGCCTCCGACACTTACTAAGGAATCCGTGCGGCGGTCGTTGGGAGACCTAGGGAGAGGCTGCGGGAGCCCAGGCAGCGCCGAGGTCTGGGGCTGAGACCGCGGGACCCAGTCGGAAGATGCTATTTAAAATCGGCGGTGCCGCCGAGCGGATGGGGCGTCCCAGGTGCAGCCCGGCGGTCCCTTCGCGCACCCCACCCCCTGACCCGCCCCTTAGTCCTCGCGGAACCGGCCCCAGAAGCTCGAGCTTCCCCGGCGCTCCCCGGGCGCGGGCGCCCTCCGGTCCAGGCAGCGCCGCCAACCTGGCAGCCCTGGGGAGTTAACTCCCTCGTTATAACGGTTAGAAAAAAAAAGAAAAAGAAAGAAAAACTTTATTAGCCTGCACCAGAAGCAACAAAAGACCCAGAATTTGCACAGTCCAAGACCGATTGCCTGAGACAATAGGGAAAGCAACGACCCGGATACAGCTCGGAAGACAAGGAAGTAGAAACACACGGCAGAGCAAGCCCTTAATGCAGCAGGAGCCCAGGGCGCCTGCGCCAAACTCGTCCCCGCTCTTCCTCCCCGAGCGGAGCCGATCGGAGCCGAAAGGAGCCGAACAGACCCCGGAGCGGCCGAGCGCAGGGCGGTAGTGTCGGCGAGAACTTAGAACCCGCCCAGATCCTGAGTGGCCCCGCCCACAAACCCCCGAGGCTCCACCTACAGTCCAAATCTGCAGGGACCCATTTTTGTTTCTGGTTTTTCTTTTTTAAGGATTTACTCAATACGATTTCCACACAGGGACGTTTGCTAACTTAAGTTACTGTCAAAAAACAATTCCACTGCTTCTTCCATAAATTGCATCCCTTAAAATACCTTGGAACATGGGGAAATTTTATTTCCTGGAAGCGGGTGATGTGAGAATAGCATTAGATAGACCTTGTTTGCTGCTTTGATAATTACAACTCTAACAGAGGAGAAAGCATTCATTTAATTATATTGACTATTGTTAGAACGATTGTACTTCGGACAGACATCTCTGCATAAATAAAATATACACAGTATTTAATTCTGCTGAGAAAAAGAGATAATAAACCTAGGAGAAATGTTTCCTCTCACAAGTATATTATGCATTAACTTATGATGTATGTCCAATGAATGAAAAAGAGTGCCTTGTATCCAGTTAGAAAATGTATTTATTAAAGTGAAATTTTAATACTAGTAAATTCACTACTAGTATAAAAACATGAGGACAGTATGTACAACCAGACAAGGCAGTCTTCTGTCAATGGATGGTCATTGGTGCCAATTCAATCCCAACAGGAATCCCCAGTTTGGGGTGCAGTGAAGAAAGACATTTTATTCAGTGCAAACAGCTCAATGGTGATACAGCACAGCTGTGAAACAGCCTGATAGTGTACAGCTCAATTACAAAGCAGCACAGCACAGCCGGGAGGCAGCCCCTGGGGCCAGGCCCATCTCTGGCTAGACAGCTCTGCTCCTGGTTTGCTCCTCTCTGCTCCAGTGAGACATCTTCGTGACATCTTTGGTGTTTGAGCTCAGCCAGGGAAACACTGTCTTCAGTCTCCGGTGGAAAGGGAAAGTGCACTTGCTCAGTGAGAGGAGAGCTGCTGACATATAGACAGAAGTCCCCACCCCTGGGACTTTTGCAAATGAGGGCTCCAAATCTTCACAGTTTGATTGGCCCAAAAAAAGCATTGTCCTGATTGGTCAAAATGAAGCTTCTCTGATTGGTCAGTGAAGAATCTGATGGGGGATATAGATGTACAGTTGGATTGGATGTGGAAAGCCTCAGTCCTATTGATTGAAATACTATTTCAGGAACTCCTTTATAAGGGCTGGCTCATATGGCAGGAACAGGAAGCAGGCAGGCAGTTCAGTGCAGGCTTCTCCCTGAAGTGTGGTTTGCATAAGAGGCCCCTATTTAGAAGTGGGCTGCTTGGCTCTGCTTTTAAATTTGAGCCCAGTTCACTACTGGAACCCTTTTCTATGGATATCTTCTTTCTTAGGTGTCTACACCTTCAACAGTTACAAATGCCATGCTTATTTACATACAGGTTAGCTACTTTTAAAAACAATATTAAAATGTTAGAATCCGAGCAGTATTCATACTTTCAAAAATGTTTATATATCAAGGCTAGAAAAATATTTGCATGAAACTGGTACAGTTCATTGGTTTATTCTACAAGTATACATTAATAATGTGGCAGTGTTTGTAACATGGGAAAATACAGTGTTATGAAAGACCGTAAATTAAATATGTAGGAATCTATATATATAAAAGCCTAAGCGACCATTCGACCATTCAACTGTTCAACCAGTAGCTATTCGTGCACTGGTGTGGTCCCTTGGCCTGGCCAGCGGGTATCGGGCCAAAACCAGCAGTCCAACATCCTGAGGGGTCCTGGATTGCGAGAGGGCGCAGGCCAGTCCAAGGGACCCCACCAGTGCATGAATCCGTGCACCAGGCCTCTAGTCAAATAATATAATGCAACAGTGGAGCTTACTTTTAAAGAAACGTGTTTAATGCTTTTTATAAACTGGAATTAAATTATATAACATTAAATTTGAAAAATAGTCCATATTTATGTGGTACAATGTATGGGAGGATTACAGAGAGATTAGACTTTCTGTGAGACAGTTGTCTTTTCTTTTTCCAGAGCTTAGGATAGAGCTGAGGATATAAACCAGTCAATAAACAGTTGCTGTATATTGTGAAAAGGGCTGCCAGAGAGAAAGTACACATGCATACAGGAGAGAAGCACTCAGGGAAGGCTTCCTGGAGAAAGTTCTATTTAGATCCAGACATAAAGTGTCTGAACTTGCCTGGAAAAGAGAAGAAAGGAGACAAAGGTGTTTCAGACCATGGACAGGACATGCGCAAATGCCCAGGTCTAAGACAGCATGACTAGTCAGATTCCTCAAAAGTTGGACTTCCTCTAATGCCCTCAGGACATTGCTCCATAACAGTACTTGTAACAATTATTATTATTTTATCCTTACCCAAGGATATCTGATTGATTTTAGAGAGAGGGGAATGGAGAGGGAAAGGGAGAGAGAGAGAGAGAAACATCCATGTAAGAGAGAAACATTGATTGGTTGCTTCCTGAAACCACCCAGACTGGGGATCATGCCCTGACTGGGAATTGAAACTGCGACCTTCCGGAGCACTGAAGGATGCTCCAACCAACTTAGCCACACCAGCCAGGGCTCTTGGGAGGTAAAGAGATAGGGTGCTTGGGGGAAGTCAAATAAAAGAAATGAAAACAAAAATTGAATTGTCTTACCTGGTTTGAGGGAGAAGATGTAGATCCTGATTAATTTTTTTAAGCATCCAGGAAAGTGCAAATCAGTTTATTGTAAGTGTAAGGATAAATAGATCCAAAGACATTGAAGCATGCAACGGAGTGCGCAGGCCAGGCTGAGGAGCCCCTCTACCCCACCCCCACCCCCCGCACGAATTTTGTGCACTGGGCCTCTAGTAAACCATAAAGGAGAGACTTCTCATGTGCATTCTCCCTATACCACCAACCTTCTTTTCCCACCCACCACAACCATCAGAGCAAGGATATCTATAAACAGAACTTGCATTCATGTCTACCAGGTGAACAGGGCTTCTTATTTAGGCAAGGTATATAAATTCTGGCTACCAATACCACACAATCTATGTATACAGACATATAGGCAACTGAGAATCATTAAATATTTGAGAAAAACTAACAACATGAGAAGAATTAAATTTTTAAAGACCTTTAAAACAATTATATGATTCAGTTATATTAGGTCTCCTATGTACACCATGAGATTTAGAAGGTGAAAGGGAGAGAGAGACCTTCTCCGAGCTTTAGGAGCAGCAAAGAAAGCTGCATTATCTATGAGAATAGAATCTACCTTCTAGTTTCTACCTTAAAAGGTATAAGGTCATGGTGGATGGTGGAGGAGCAGTTCTGGAAAAGGTTAGTAACAATAGCTGCACTCGATTTCTGACTTCTAGATCACAGCTACATTGTATGATCTTGAAGCTGAAAGTCTCATTATAGCCCTGACTTTTACTCCTCCAGCCTTTCAAATGCTCTTGTATGCACCAAAATTTCTTTTCAATATAAACTACCCAGAGGAATTTCTATTTCCTCTATTAAACTATTTTCTGATACAGTATTTGGTACAGAAAGGTGTTCATAAAATAAAACCTCAACGGTAGAAATTTAAGATTTATTGTTTAACTCGGTGTTGGTCAAAAGAGTGATAACTTTATTACCAATGGAAAATAAAATATTGGTAGTTGAAGGCATACGATGGTAAAACATTTATTTATATAGTCACATGTAATCACCTGGAATGAGGTGCCTGTTGAAGGCAAGCCTTTCGTAACAGGTGTTTGATAGAATATTAAGCTGGAAATAAGAAATACTGAGCAGAGCTAGAGCCAGTAGCTAGCCAAACAGCTGTCATTTATGATCCCTAAAGGATATCTTTTGCAGAAAGTTCATGGCTCATTTGATCTCTCACTGTAATTAATATTTTCAGAGATTTTCGAGAGAAAACAATATTTATGAAGTAAGAAAAGGTTGTGCTGAAATTTATGAACTTCATGAGAATCTCAAATGCTCCCGTGGAAAAAAAAAGACAGGGTATCTACAAAGGAAGAGGAATCAGGTTCAAATTAGAATTTCTAACTGAAACTTTGGATGGCTGGGAACTTCAGGCATCTAAACATTATTAAACTAGAGGCCCGGTGCACGAAATTCATGCCATTGACTGGTTTATAGGACCACTGGCTCCTAACTGCTCGCCTGCCTGCCTCATTGCCCCTAACCACTCTGCCTGCCTGCATGATCACCCCTAACTGCTTGAGTGCCTACCTGATCACCCCTAACTGCTCACCTGCCTGCCTCATCACCCCTAACCACCTCTGCCTGCCTGCCTCATTGCCCCTAACCACCTTTGCCTGCCTGCCTCATCACCCCTAACTGCCTCTGCCTCAGCCCCCGCTGCCAGGGCTTCGTCCGGAAGGATGTCCAGAATGATGTCTGGAAGGTTGTTCAGCTGTCCGGTCTAATTAGCATATTACACTTTTATTATTATAGATGTTTTTTTAATAATGGGTTTATTGGTAATCACCATTTTCAAGTTATATAAAATATACTGACTGCAGAATTTTCTTTAAGGATTTAGGCAGTAAGGATCTACTCTAGTGTTATATAAGTAAAAACTTTTCATATATATTACAAAAGAAATACTGAAAAAAATTTTAGTTAACCAATTAAGTTTTTCATAGCTCTATATTGCACAAATGAATATCATGAAAATATTTTGTAATCTGATCTTTGTGCCCTAGCCAGTCAGTCATCTCTTTAGACATAAGAATAACTTTTTTTTAAAAAGTTACTTAGCTTGGGGTGAGTTTTTTTAACAGCTTTATTGAGATTTAATTCACATAACTTAAAACTCACCCTTCCATGTTGTAAAATTTAGTGGTTTTTAGTATATTCATAATTTATACCACTATCACCACTATTTAATTTTAGAAC